CGTTATCATGCACTGCTTTTTATGGTCTCCATTGTGTTAATAGATGCCAGGAAAACATCACTTACGGGGTTCAAATAAACACCCAAAAAAAATCGGCTCGCCGCTTCGCGGCTCGTCATTATTTTGGTCAACCCCCCCCCCCCTTAGCAAAAAGCTAGATCTGCCACTGAGTCATCCCCCCCAGGTGTACGAACCTGTCTACGCCACTGGCTGTAAAGGTACTTGAGCATTTGTCTACATCAATAACCCACTTCTTGTAATGGCTGAAATAAAACTGATTGAATCTTTACGCTGCACAAAACGTACGACCATTTGGTACAATGATCCGGAAATCAGACTATTACTAAATGGATTGCAATCACTGTAGTCGGTTCAACAACTAATGGAACCTACCTTTTCATTATTATTGCCTGCAAATGGGTTCTTAACCCTTTGCACAAAACAGAATTTTATATAATAATTGCCATTAGCATTGTTCGAATATATATAAGAAGAAGAAGAGAGTGCTGCGCAGCGCCGATGGCTGCTCCCACAGGCTCTCTCTTTCTTGGCATGTTTCTAGCTGTCAGAGGAGACTTCTCATATTGATTTTTATACCAGATCATAGAGGAAGGGGTATATGCAAGAACTATGGCTCCTGTCAGAAATATGAAGTCACCATTTCTTTGCATTAATCGATTGATTTTTGTTGTCAATTTCTATCATCATGCACCAGTTCACCAATGGACTTCTACATGTAGCAGTGCAGCTCCTTTTCATCCAATTGTGTTCTTTCAGACTGCCCCGCCTACCAGGCGATTTCTTTTAATGAGCAAAAACGTTAGGGGGGGCGAAAAAAAATCCGCATCACCACCACTCTTACATGTTACGCAGGCCCTGTCAACGTTTTTTTCAAATCTGTTTTTTTTTTGGGGGGGGGGGGCTAAAGTATTTCCGATCAGGTAGAGCAAAGCGAGCGAAGCAAGTGGAGCGTAAATCGGCGTGGGGTTCAGGGGGAAAACCCCGGTGGGGGGGGGGGTCAAGGGGCGGAGCCCCATAAAACTCAGGGGTTCTAGGCATTTATTTAAGGTTAGATGAGCATCCATGGGGCGGAGCCCCCGGAAGCTCAGGGGTTTTGGGGATTAAATTAAGGTCAGATGAGCATATTTTGATACCTTATTTGTGACTTGCACTGACATGCAGGTCACTATTTGGAGTGGGGTCCAGGGGCGGAGCCCCCAGAAGCTCAGGGGTTTTAGGCCTTAAATTACGATCAGATGAGCATCAAGGGGCCGCCTTAGGGCGCTTGGTGGGGTCCAGGGGCAGACCCTCCCGAAGCTCAGGACTTTTAGGCATTTAATTACGGTCAGATGAGCAACCAGGGGCCCGCTTAGGGCATTTGGTGGGGTCCAGGAGGCAGAGCCCCCAGTAAATCATTGGTATCAAATTAGATATAAACCACGGTTGAATTTTATTTTTGGAGGGGAACTTCCCCAAAGCTCCCCCCCCCCCCCCCCCCCCCCCCCATCAATACGAAAGTTCGAGGGAGCATAGTGAATGAGAGGGGTGAAGGTGACGGAAGTGACTACCCCCTCACAGGTTTTGAAGTTTTGGTTGTATTAAACATAGGATATTATGCGAGGGAGCGTAGCTGCCGAGTGAGAAAATGTTTGCATTTTTATTTGTCTAAACGCTGCACTCTTAGGCCCTCCAGAGCCTAAAAGTGTGTTGCAGTCTTTAGTAAGTATTTGCTATACATTTTTGGGGGCACTTTTTCAAATTTTGAGGGGGGGAGACCCCCCCCCCCCCCCCCAAACAAATTTAGAGTGTCCCCCCCCCCCGTCCCCCCGGGATCGCCGCCCCTGTCGCCTACCATTCATCATCATCTGTTCATCTTCAACTATCATCTGGTCCTCGAACTCACACTCGCTATGGAGATCGTGCCTTCTCTGTATATGCTCCTAAACTCTGGAATAATCTCCCCGTCTCTGTCCGTGAATCCCCAACTCTTGACACTTTTAAACGTAGACTTAAGACCTATCTATTCAACACAAAGTAATTGCCCATCATCATACCGTATTTATAATCACATGTCCTATCTTCTTGTAATGTATTCATTATCTAATGTACATAAGTATTGTAGTTTCATTAATGTTACTTAATTATTTTTATTATCATGTTATTGTTATACATTGTTAGTTAAGTAATTCGTCTAAATTAAGCGCAATGTTTATATCGTTTCTTGTTGATCCTTATTACAAATTTAGTTTAACCGTACTTTTCATTTCATTTGTTTTGTAAAGCGCTAAGAAACTGTATCTGTATACCAGCGCTATATAAATCTTAAATATTATTATTATATACCAATCATGCTAATGTAAAGTATGTATCTTTCTCTTATATATGTATATATCTATATATATAATGTTACTAAAGGCGTCATTGGAGGGACATTTGGAGTGAAAAAATGAGTCATTAAGTAGACATTAGGGTTAGGGTTAGGTTTAGGGTTAGGTATTAGGGTTAGGGTTAGGGTTAGGGTAAGGATTTTTATGATGTCCACTTAATGTACCATGTAGGGTTATATATATGTATATATATATATATATATATATATTATTATCTCTCTCTCTCTCCCTCTCTCTTTCTGTTCGTCTTTCCATCTCTTTCCGTTTTCTCTCTCATTTCCCTTTATTTTATTAGGCTTATCACCTCTTCCACTACCCCACTCCATCTATGCATCCCTCTGTGTTGTATATTTGTCTAATTTACACTTTTAAACTTCCGTTTCTTTCTCTCATTTCTCATCTTTACTTCCCAACAAACTGTGGAACAACTTGCACACCTTTTTTATGGTTGACAATATATTTATTCTCTATTTTTTTATCATTGTATTTGAGAATCAAAGTTCAAAGTAAAATGCATTTGAGCATGGAACATCATAATTTACTATGTACACACAAAAAGGAAGTATACGTACATTTTAGAGAGATTTAGCCGTGCACAGCAACAATCGCTCAATGTAATTCCAAAAATAAATACTTGCATAAAAATGTACCGCTACATAATACTTGTGGTATATAGGGATACTTTCCTTATTTTCAAGCTTACTGCATGACTATAACATGGAATTTATCAATTTCTTACTGCATAAAATACTAATTGAATGGTATGAAAACAAAGGGTTCACATTACTGTATGGTTCAAGTCTAAGCGTTCAAATTCCGAATACTTAGGACCTCAAGTGGAATGAATAATACTGTAAAAGCCAATATAATACACGAACAAATGTAATATGGACAAACTTAATATTGCTAATTTTGTATTAAGGTGGTATTGCAAGATTATTGTTGTTTCTTTTTTGGTTCTCACTCGTTGGGAAAGAGTTTAACTAAACATGAGTAATTTTTTGTCAACTTATATATTTCATAAGGATGTACGGGTCTAGCAATACATGGCACGTTTATGATAAAGAGTAATTCGGGGATTTCCAAAAACGATTGCGAAAGGACCAAACTGAAAGTTCAGTGTGTAAAATGAACGCTGGTGATTTTAGGCAGATCTACAATCACAATAGGTTCTTAAAACTTCCATGATTAAATACTTGCATGGAAAGGAAACAATATCATGTAATGTTTACATTATCGCTCAATCCAAAGCAGTGAACGAGAAAATGTTGTGCTGTATCATATAAAAACATTCCGTGAATCTGTCAAATAAATATGAATTTCGACAATCCACATTACGTCATTTACAATGTTGCGCATATACATGTACATGTAAAACAAAATGGATGATTCTGGAGAGCATTTAGGCAAGATTGTATCTTTTATAAATGTAATGCTTCCTGGGAGAAATTTCAATAGTTTAAACATATTTGTGGCTTGCACCCAGTAAATAAGATCGATTTACTGGGTGTAAGCCACAAATATGTTTAAACTAAGATTGTATCTGTATTTAATATCGTTTTCAGACATGAAAAATTGAATTAGTCGCAATCTAAGTAATTGATAATAAAGGCAGCAATTCAATTATAGACCCACTAAACGAAATTCACCTCTTTCACCAATTGTAATGACAGTGAAAATAAATATATACATATTTCAGTTATGCAAAATGTCATCTTAATTAATATATACACAATGTAAGAAATAAACGATTATCATAATATTTTTCAAATGCTTATTAACTATTCAATTCAATTTTAATTCGTATTTATTTCATTTCCAACAGAAAGATAAATAAAGGTATTACAGATATTATTGCAGAAAGTATGAAAACAAATATATGTACATATTCATTTGTTTATCTTGATAAGTATACAAATACACTTTACACATAATACAATTATTACAAGAAATTCTTAATTCCTGAGGGAATGGGGGGATCCACTAAAAAGCAGTGCTTGTAGTTTGTGGATCATCACTTAGGAAATTCCAAAATCTATTACACCAATATGTACATGAAATTGAGATTATTTTTCATTAGTATGTGTTTTCATTATTATTTCTTTAAAATGATGTCGTAGCTGGGAACAAGAAAGGCTTGAGGGATGATATGAACGTTGACAAATATTCAGCGCTCCTGATAGATTGCGGAAAGCTATTCCACAGCTTAGGTCCAGAGAAGTAGAAGGCTCTGTCACCCAAGTAAAGATGTGCGACTGAGAAATTCTATAACGAGACCTTGGTCGAAATGCTTCATCAGACGCTCCGAAGTCTATTGGTCTTCAACATTAAAGCGACTCGGTAACATTACCTCAGATTCTGAAACAAAATCCTGGCTTTAGCTCATGCTGCAATCACAATTATAAACCTTTAGGTCAGTCAGAAATCCCATGACTTTTACAAGCCGATCGCGCCGTCTGGTATTTATGATTGGAAATCGAAATTTCATTTTTCGTTTTCCTAACGATTTTTATAACACTACAGTCTATTGGGGAAAATGAGTATGGTAAAACTCAAAGATTTTTACTTTTTTGAGGCACTTCATGATAATTTTGAAGCGCATTTTTTTAGGGCTTCAATATTATACCATATCACAGACACTGATTACATCTAAGGCCGGCCATGCATCTCAGATTTAACATTGTTAACCGATGCCTTTAAGTGCTTTGAACGTTGAAACTCCAAGTCTGAAGAAGATCCTCTGGTCGATAGACAGCCAGTGAAGATCTGATAAAACTGGATTGGTGTGAAATCTCTTCCTGTTTAAAGACACGAGCCTCGCAGCCACAAATACCTTGACTGTGCCGTGAACATGCCGTGGTTGTATTAAAGAACAAAACTTCGCAGCAAGTCATAGGTTCTTAAGGGGTGATGACGAGTCATTTCAAATGCTCTCAAAGATCACTCAAACCCAGATACGAAGAAATGTCTTCTCAGCGTTCCGTACGTGGCGACGGACTTCTTCTTCTTCAGGAATACATGCCTTGGAAAACCTAGCGGTTGGTGAGAAAGGGAGATCGAGAGAGAAAAAAAGAAACAAAATGTAAAGAAACGGGATTGAAGCTGGGAGTATAAACAAACAAAAATGACAAATTGAAGAAAAAAGCCATCTGGTCTACATGACAGTCTACTATTTTGAAAGTCGAGTTGAAGATTTACTCATAATAAAGGTCAGTAGATGATGAAGAAAGCAAAATAAAGTGTTGCTTGTAGAAGCACAAAAGCAAAAGGTTAAATTTCTGTTATAAAAACGTTATACTTAGCTTACGAGATCTTTCAAAAACTTGAAAGGACCGAGATCGGTATACCATATTTATTTCAAAAGTTAATGGTGGCAAGATGTTTCAATATTGGTCTTAAGTAATACGGAAATATGTTACCATTTTGGTGCCAGTGGCTATAATGACGTATTGAAAAATGAAGTAACTCTTGAATTTCAGTAACAATTACCTTAGCGTTTTCAATCCTACTTTGGTTGCTTCTGAACTCTTTTCCAATAGGTTGACAAAGCTGTCTGGTCCAAAGGGGGTGTAGAGGATGCTCAGAAACCTCAAAGAAGGAGTCGCTAGGACAGCGTTCGAGAAGAGATCAGCAACTTCACACGAGACCCTTGCTGTGCCCTCGTCATGTGGCTTGGTCTTGTCTGGGGGTGTGCCCGATATCCTCAAGTCTTCTAGATTGGGCATGACTGGAAGGAATCCTGCAGCACACGCGATGACCTTCTCTGGGACTGGTGTATGGACGAGATGAAGTTCCTTCAAACGAGCAAGGGTACCCACCTTCGTCTGGAGTTGATTGAGGGCTTTCTCTGTGACGTGATGCAGAGAGATCATAAGTTTATCCAGTTGCGGACAATGCTGTACTCCGTCTAGTATGCTGATTATGGAGGTGTCATCTGAGGAGGTGTTACGCCGAATGTCCAGTGCAGATAGTGAAGGGAAGTGCTTGAGAAGGTCTCCAAGTTGTTCGATGCTCTCTGAATCCATATCAGTCTTCTCCAGAACAAGCTCCTCGAGATTCTCCATCATGGGACACTCTTCCAAGGCGTCTAGGAAGTCAGGTCCTACTTCATTTCCTGACAACTTCAGTTGAGTCAGGTTAGATTGACGGGAAAGACCAGGTACGAGCTTAGCAAGGCACTCATCGCTTATGTTATTCATGCTGAGGGTCAATCTCTTTAGGGACGTAAAGGATGAGTTTGAAAACATCCTGAACAACCTTTCCCAGTCTGCAGGATTGGCTTTGACCCCATTTAGAATGAGCTCTTCGACAGGACAGCGCTCCAAACCGTCAATGACAGGTCCGAAATTCCATTCGCTCATCTGCATCTGATTGACCTGTTCCCATAGGGGCAACACCGCAAGGAAAGTATCATCAGGACGCTGTAGGAGGTACTTCGGTATTTCTCTTCCTTTAGTTACTCCTTCTCTTAACTTCTCTCTTCTCTTTTCTTCCGTCAGGGGTTCCTCACTCTGTTTCTTTCTCCTTCGCCTCTTCCTCTTCAATGAATCCGACACGTCGTTCTCCAAGCCGGGGAAAGAGTTGAGGAATTCCCGGAACTCTGAACTAGAGTTCAGGTGCAGACGAATGAGCTCGAGCGACTTGATGGAAATTCCCCTGCCGTGCTGGAGAAAATACCCGAGTGACTTTGTGACGTAACTAGAGATTCCGACGAGTCGGAGACGACTGCAGCCAGACATGAGTGGAGCCAGTACATCATTAAGTTCACCTTTGCTCTGGCTTTCAAAGTTGAGCTGTAGACAGAACTCAATGAGTTTCTGGACACGTTGACACTCTGTGTAGTGCAACTTTCCATTCATGAAGAGTTTGATGTTTTCCTCTTCCGATTTCATGAGACTTACAACGTGGCTGATGATGGTACGAGCTGCCTCCACATTTGCACCGCTTGCAAACATGAGGACATTTCCAAGATCTGTGGCACGTTGAAGGGTTCTGATATCCTCAACACACTTCTTGAAGAAACATCGCTCCTCCTCATTCCCGGTAGAGAGATAAGCAAGGTAACTGCCAGCAAGTTTCTCTTGAATTATCTTGAGGACGAAGGTAATGTTGTGCGAGTCAACTACTCCGTCTTCATTGTTTATCTCTAGATCTTCGTAGAGTGTTGGCCTATACTCTGCTTCTTCATCTCGGACAAGGATACCAACCTTACATCCCATGGCAACGACTTCTCTTGCACCTGACTTACAATCTTCAAAGTCTTTCAGTCTGAAGATCAGTTCTTCTTCATCGGATCTGACGAAGCCCAGTAATGCTACCTTTCCAAGCTGAAGGATCAGGTCGTCCTCATCAACCTCACGTGATTGAAAGACTGCATCTCCAGTGGCGTCTTCATTTTCATTCATGATGTCGCCGCTCTTGACATATGTCTCCTCTGTCACATCTTTCTCAGTAGAATCCCAGCTTCGAAGTCGGGTCCTCTGCTCTTTGGATCTTGGATGATACTTCAGGAGACACTTCACGAGCTTGTCGAATAGCGAGCTGATCGTGTTCATATCTTTGAAGTCCTTTCCATCGGTCAGTTTTGTCAACTGGCAGAAAGCGCAGCACATTAGAGGTAGGGAAGCCAGTTCTGTTTTCAGATGGTTCTCTTCGAGGTAGGCAAGTAGTTTCTCTCCAAGTTCTGGCCGACGTTTGAAAATCTTCTTGACATATGCATCGATGTCTTCTGATGAAAAGCCTGTGATCTGTAAGTGTCGGTATTCGTCAGTGATGTGGTCTTCCAGTTTCATGAAGTCTCCCACTCTGCCAGGGCGAGTTGTGATCAAGATCTGAACGAAGGGTAGGTATTCTTTCCTTAACATCTTCACGATATTTCCACAGTTCTTCTGATCCAACCCTTTGCCTTTGAACTCGTCATAGCCATCTAGCAGAACAGCAACACGTTTCTGGTTCTTTTCAGCGAACTGTTCAATGAACTGCGGTGTGAAGTCTTTCTTAGGCAGGAGCTGGTCGACTACAGCAGCTCCAAAGTTGCTTGTGTGGTCTAGCTTCTTCAGCTGCAAGAGGAAAACAGCTACAGCATCTTTCACGGGGCTTGTCCTAGCCTCTGCCCAGTCACTTGTCAGCTTCAACAAGAAAGTTGTCTTTCCGCTGCCTGTTCTTCCTCTAGCTACCACTCGAGTAGATGATGTTGCTAGTGTCTCCTCACACCCATCGATTTCATTGTCGTTTCCATCCACTGCTTTCACATCCTTGAATAAGTCTTTAAAAGCGAGTCGGTAATGAATTGGAAGATCTGGACTATCGATGTCCACAAGAAGTACCAGATTGGTGTAGACCCTGCCTAGGTCTACTGTCACGATCTTGCCATTCTTGCCAGCCCAAGGGACCATGGGAACTTTGTTTCGTTTCTTGTAGTGATATTTGAGGTGTTCTACCATTCGCGTCTCTTTGGCATCAAGGGCCGTTGGTGAGGCAGCGTCCGACTCGATTTCACTTGGAAAGAGAGCTACGTAGAAAAGTAAGAGGTAGGGAAAACAAACGGTTGACTAAAGCAGAATCTTTGATGTTTTGCGTACTCCTTCACCACTTCTCTCTTATTCGAAATAACATTTATACACTGAATAAGTTATTGCAAATTTTTTTTTGATAATACAAAGCTCTCTATTTTTTTTACTCAATAATCTAATTTCCCCAAGCTAAAATAATAATAAGACCTGAACCACACATGGGATACAATCCAAAGACTGGCCCAGGATCGGAAGGAGTGGAAGACTTTTGTTGCTGCCCTATGTGCCAGGAGGCATAATGGGCAGTAAGTAAGTAAAATAATTCGTAATATGCAATGTCATATGCTATGCGTTGGTAACGATGTGTACATCTCACAAATTTTGGAATTGTATAAACCTCCGATCACCACAAAGTGCTGGCAGGGTGACGTTCATTTTCTTTTTCATTTTTGCATATGCGTTAATGGATCTTGCATGAGCATATGAGTCATATCAAAACCAAATTAAGTCCTGGTGCGACCATTATATTATTATCTACATGTCAATAAGAGGCCTACATTTTTCATAAATTGTTTGAGCTATATCCCACCTTCAAATCGAGGGCCATACTTATCAGCCAGGTCCACGCGCTGAACGCTCTGCAATCCCTGGACAAGTGTCTTCACCAGATCCTTGTTTCGAGTCATCTGCCGCCATTTGAGCAGCATCTGATAACCTCTTTCTTTTTGTTTCGGATAGTCCGACTCGATGTTTTCAAGATCTGCTTCCAGTAGGCCGAGTCGACGCCCGATGTCCTTCCAGCTACTGCCGAGCTCCAAAGACAAGTCCAGGAGAAGGTTGACTTGCACTTGCCGTTCCTCGTCCGTCCCCATCATGAGTTCACCTGTATTAAACAAGTAAAATGTACTCAAAATGGTAAAAACTTGAATGTCAAAACACCCGAACAAACTAGATTAGGATTTCCAGTGCACTAATTATTTGTATTTTTGTAAATGATTACCTCAATATGAAATAAGCAGAATACAACCATTTTGTATGATTGAAAGTTGAACTTGATTCTACAAATTTCACAAATACATTCAGATTAGACCCCGATGAAGAGCAGCTGCATTCCTTCAAAATTATTGTACTGCATGGTTGTCTCAATAACTCTTTGAATACCCTATATACCGTCCTGTAAAATAATCTATATGAAATTGCACGTTTCCTAAGAACTTCGAATAATTCTTACCTCTTTTTCATGTAATGATTGTGACAATATGATTTATTCTTGACAGATAAAGTTTATCTTCTCAAAACTTTACAAATCAATATCTATGACTCTTTAGATTGATCAATAAAGTTCCGAGATGATACATGTATAAACAAAATCGTTATATTGCTACAGACATTCCAAAAACGAGGTCAGAAAAAAAATCATCCCAACTTTATTGGACACAGCATAGGCTATAATTCTATTCATCATACATTCTAAACATCCATGCAGTTTTTTTTCTATTCAATTTAATTCCGTAAGTTGATTTTAGTTGACCGTGGTCAATTCTTCACCACGAACTCAAAAACAGGCCAAACAAGACAATTTAATGTTGTTGTTGTTGTTGGTTTTACTTTAATTGAATTTCTTAAATTTCTTAAACAGTAGAATGGAATATTCCAGCACTGTTGAACTTATACAAATGTTGGAATTATACTCAAAGAGAATGCAATCAACTACATTCAAACCTTTCTAAAGCCCCCATCACACCAAACTAGTTCTCACTACCTTCTCGAAAATGTTGCCAAACGGGCTCAAACTGTGTGCTACAACACACCCCTATCTCTCTCTCTCTCTCTCTAGATAAATGTATCGTTACTACAGATAGGTGGCCACTAAGACAGTTTGACTGTATTTCGGCTTCATTACTGTACAAAGACTGACAGAGAAAATGGTTAGCTCACCTGTGCCACCCTCTGCCATAGAGAGAAGAGCTTAAATGTCACGAGGTCAGTGACGTCATCATTACGCTGTTGTTGAAGTCATGAGATCAACCAATCATCGTCTCGATCTCATCTGAGAATGAAAAAGAAGGGGTAAATGTTAGGATATTATATAGCCTAAAATTATGTATCAGAATAGAAAAGGAAGAGAGGAAATAGAAGGGGAAAAAAGATAAAGAGAGAGAGGAGGGATTGTGTGTAGCTGAACGGAGAGGGTATGTGTGTGTGTAATGGATAGATAATTGCTGATTCTAGATCATTGTGACGTCTTAACAATGACTCAGTACTTCCGTATTTGTTTTTTGTTGTTTTTCTTTCCATGTTTTCACGCGGATTTCACGGCGAAATTGTAATCAATATGTTTAACACGTATCGGGCTCGATTTCACAAAGGAGGTTTGTCGAAAAACCTAGGTTTATGTGCGTCATATGACGCGTATAACCTAGGTTTGTCGACAAACCTCCTTTGTGAATTCGAGCCCTTGAGTTTGTTTTTCGTAGTTCACCTGATTCTGAAATTTCTTTCGAAATCTAATTCCAGAAACTTCAAAGCCATTAAGACATTCTGAGAAACAAACAAAAATTGGCGCGAACTTTTTCTACAAAAGAATGATGACTAATAATATAGAGCAATACATAACAAATCAAAGTTCACCTCTAGCTGTAAATATGGGTCTCACATCACACAGTTCTTTTTTTCTTTTTCAGCCAGTCAAATTTTATGGTCGTTTCATGGCCTATCAACTGAGGTCAAGAGTATCCGGGTCGTAAAGATGTACGATGATACGGTGATGGCAGTGGCATTTCGAGGGGGTTGAGGGCTCAAGCCCTCCCCCCCCCCCCCACACCCACCCTCCGAAAAAATTATCCAGGGGTAGAAAATTAATCTTTTATTTTGTATCATGACGTTACTGTAATATGCACTTCACATATCTGTACCTTATAGCACATAGCTCGGTGAATACATGAGACCCTTAGTTGCGCGAAGTTGCCATCTTAATAACAAAAACCCGTGTCATATCTGACCGAGCCTTCAGAGTTGCTATCATGTTTATTCGAAATTAACATTGACATTCCCGTATCAAATATCAATTGATCAAATGGTATTCTATATTCTTAAAACTTCTAGAGATGCTTCAGGTTGTTTCTCTTCCAGGTCTTCAAACTAAGAAGGGAATCATTTACCATCCTATGCTCATTATGAATTGATGCAGTTTTGGTTTCGATTAATTTGATCATCCATGATTTGAACAACGTGAGAATCTTTCATTACGGAAATACTCTTTTTTTCTCTCTCTCTCTTATTCGTCCACGCTTCCTGAAAATTGACATATCTTATCTGACCCAATGACTCGTTAATTTCTTCTGTCATTAAAACATGAGATCAAGTCAAATTCCTTGGCAAAGAATGCAAAAGTAAAATGGATAATTATGCTCCGTAATTACCAAGCTGTGGTGAGGTACCTGGATTTCTTGCACACACGAATAGAGAGGCGATATGAAACTGTTCTAAAAAAACTTGATTTTAAGGCAATCACGTTCGAGTGTTAGGGCTTGTGTTCGATTTCCGATGTATTGCGTTTCTAATCTTATTCCCGCAGCACGCGAGACGTCCGTTTGCTTGCGATTTTGCTAAATAAGCCTGTAATTAATACAGTTAATACAAACACCACCTGATCAATGAAATTAGTATGTTTCAAGAGCAATTTTGAAGTTCTTGGGTACTTTTTCGCGCGACAAAGTCCGGCCCGCCATTGACTTTCACACCGGAAATAGGGGGTGCTTTCCAGGCACGAAGCCCAGGGGGGGGGGGGGGGGGGGGGGGGGTGCCCAACAAAAAAAAAAAAAAAAAAAAAAAAAACCAAGATCGGCTGAACTTTTTGTAGACCCCTCCCCAGGACGTCGATCAATTACAGGTTTGTGCCCCCCCCCCCCCCAACATCAAACTCTGGTGCTTTCAAACAGAGGGAACATGCATACGCGTACATTGAGTGTGGGGGGGGGGGGAATCTGCAGTGACCTCAGATTTCTTATCGGTTAGCATTTTGTAAGTAAATCTGAGAGATAAGATGGAGCCACGTTATGAAAACATGAAACCTAGCAGCAAGATTTCAACCTTATGTTTTGTTATTTTATTTGTTTGACCTCATGGTCAGTAATTATGGATTTTATGATTAGAGGTGATTAGACTATGACTAACCACGGGCCTGTGTATAATGTTTCAAGAACGTCGGTACAAGGGGGATGTTGCAAGACAAGAGAAACAATATTGCAAAAGGCAAACAAACGGAAACAATACCGGATAGACAGTGAAGGTGATATAATCTTTTACGATGCTAGCGTGGCCGGAAGTCAGGAAGTACTGGCAGGCCTTTCCTTTCTATCTAGAGACGTTGGTAATCTTGGTATTGCATGGTTGTTTGGTTTGTTTTACATGACTGCTAAGAAAGCATGTGTATGCTTGTAAGTAAGCGACCAGGGGACAGACGGCTTTAAGTCCTCTCCCAGGAACTTGGTAATGAGGATTAATGCCTTACCAAAGGGCACTAGCACATCGACTTGGTTTCGAACCCGAGACCTTCCAGTTACCAGACCATCGCTCTATACCACTGAGCCACCGCGCCTTCTATATTTGTAAAGAGTTCTCCGTCACGGGGCATTCTTAATCTTGAAACATTATCGTGTTGAACAAGTATTTTGAGAAGGGGTCAAGTACAGATTGGGTGACCTAGCCTGCATTACGCTGGGAATCAATAGTGATACATACCCTATTGTTTTCATCTATTGCGGCCTCAGCTAAAGGTCAATCACTATATAGATTTAGCATGTGATCAGTTAGCTTTTACGACGAATTTTAATCTTTGATCTCATTAAGTTTCAAGTTTATTTACTTCCACTTTATCAAAAATAACATAATTGAACACAATATACATAATAATATTTATAACTAATCATACAATAAAGGAACATAATGTACATGATAATAGTTATAACAACATATACAAGCATAAGTATGATAAATACATTGAAAAAGCTAAATAAAGTGGGGGATCTACTAAAAAGCAAAGCTTGTATTATGTAGGTCCCGATTTTATGCAGTTATGTATATAAATTAGGATATCTAAATAAACATAAGGTATTTACAAAAGACATAATGGTCTTGATCAAGTCACTGCTATATAATTTCAACACTCTGATTATATTTAACAGACCGAATACAGTCGAACCTGTCTATTAAGGTCACATACGGGAAAAACATAAAGTGGCCACTGTAGACAGGTGACTTTTTATTTGACAGTTTCTACACTTACACAACACTGTTTCCTCATAGAGAGAGAGGCAACGTAGGTGACCGCTATAGACAGGTGGCCTTTATATAGAGAGCTTTTCACTATCACGGGTTCGACTGTACATGTATATGGAATAACTTTCCAGACTATTAAAGTTTGCCATACTCACATTTAATTAAATGATTTGAGAGAACTTGTCACTAAAGCAGCGATTGCTCAGAAATCATATTTTCATAAAAAATGCAGCTAATACTATATTGAAAGGAAATCCTGAGTAAGTGCAAGTCGGGCGATATGATTATACTATGATAGAAATCACGACTATGTCATATTATGCAAATAAAACAAAAAATCAACAGTCAAAGAACGTTTTCTCTAAGCAGCTAAATGCAAAATTTCCAGAATTTCCAAGTTGGTAGGGGGGGGGGACGTTATTGTATACGATTGCGTTATTCTTTTCTTTTCCTCTTTCCGTCCATATGCGAATTCCCGTCTTTTGAAGTCGAATCTTGTTCAAATCATATTTTCATTAATTGTGTCTTCCAAAAAGGAAACGTTAATTGGCAGACCTTGTCATCGCGCTTAATATCATTAATGAAGAAGAAAGTGAACGAAATCTGTTAACTTACCACTTTCCATAAGCCGAGAGTCAAATTATAAACCGTGTAATGTAATTATTATATTCTATATTCAAATCGAAACCGAAACCCTTCGACAATCAGCGATTATTTTCAAATAGTGATTGGACCTTTGCTCCTTCAAAGTCCAGGCTGATTTATGAACAATAACCTACTCATTAGTTCTTCGAACATGTGAATTTACCACCAGGACGGTTGTTTATATCTTGGCACTTAACCAGTTTTTTATGATTCACTGAGTAAATGTTTATAACGATAGAAAACAAGGTGGATTAGGCCAAAAACAGAGCCGTGGAATAGCATGATGGTAAAAGCCAATGGATACAGATAACAACCAGATTATTCCTACTCCTTGTAATTAATTTGATTTTTTTTTTGGGGGGGGTGTATTTCGTGACTCAAGAATGACATGTGCACTAGTTAAATTAAGATCTAGGTCGAATACTTTTAGATGTAAGCTGCGATGAGTCACATTCTCAAGAAAATTAAAATGGGACAAATCAATTTTGCACAAACATCTTCAATAATTACAAAACTTGGTAAGGGTATGAATAAAGGTTTATGAATGAAAATATGAATACTTAAATTGTTAACTGTACGGCACATATGAGAGAGAAAGAGAGAGAGAGAGAGAGAGGGAGGGCGGAGGGGGGGGGGGGTAAACAACGATCATCACCAGTATGGGTGCGAACGTTATTGTAGTTTGCTCAGCATTGTGAGCATCTGTAAAATGACGCCTGGCTGGAATGCTCCACAGGGAGTGGAGAAGGTGCATACATTGTGTGCGGGCAAGTCTGAATCCGATGACCAGGGTAATATTATATCTGTAAAGCGCTTAGAGATATCGTCGATGTATTAAGTGTTATACAAAAGCGGGATATAGTTATTATTGTCATCATTTCGTGTCATCATGAATATCTAGCCACAGTAAGAGCCACGTCGTTGCAGGCACGAACCCTCAGTCGTTGTGCGTAACAGTGTCTGCACTACAGAGACTACCCCCAGTCGCTTTGGACACAAACAAAGACTCGACATTATAGGTTCTGCTCAATACTTTAAAAATTTGGGTTTAAACAATTCAAATGTGAGTCATTGCCAGGGAATGTGACAACCAGCATGCCTGAGCCCAGTAGATGGTGCAGTAGACAATGATTAATGTACAATGAATACGTATCATAATTATTTACTCGATTGTTTACGCACCATGTCACCATGACCCGTGTGTGGCAGTGTTTTTTTTGTAGGGGGGAGGGGGGGGGGGGGGGGAGAAGAGAAGGTGCAAGCTAACTCATTCCTAAACTTTCCACATAGGCCTACCCTTTAACCTGCATACCCCCCTTTCTCTCTCTCTCTCTCTCTCTCTCTCTCTCTCTCTCTTACTTTTATTTTCTAATCTTTCTAAACCTGTACAGCCGACTCTCTTGGAGCTGTCCAAGTAAAATAATTTACATAAATGAACATATTTAATGTAAATAGAGTAATATACGTTTAATGTATGCATGATAAAATAGGCTTTACTTCGTAATGTAATCAAATGTAATTCACAAATGCCTCTATTTTGTTCACCTGTTACGAATAGTTGTATTTTAATTGTCAGATTGCGAATTGCTTACCTTACGTGCTGTTAGGTAGGACGAGCCATAAAGTTTGTTCTACCTTCTGACTATTGGAATGCAGGTAAATGAAATAATTGTTGACATGGCATTTATGCATGAAATTTGATTACAGGTTGCTGTTTATGTTGTGTCAAAAATAGTTTCGTTTCAAATTCCGATAGTAGCTGGAGCGATGTACATGTAGTAAACAATGACGTGTTGAACCATTGCGTCATCAAGGGATTCCCCACCCCGTTGGGTTCCTAATCAAAGAGATGAGCGTACCATTGTGTCGTAACAATAACGGGTTACAAAAAAATTAGGCGCAGCTCCAACTTCTCAATGCTACATTAAAGAATCTTTCATTTTCTCTTCGATCGTGCACTGTATGAATTGTTTTGCTTGCATCAGCTTCGGAAATATGATGAAATATCAAAATATCGCGTCAGAACTATGCCATTATCAAAGTTTAGTTCAAAACAAGTAATACAATTCATTTATAAACATAAATACAAGAGTCAAGGGCCTGTCAGCCCTGTCTATCTCGGTCTCTCGATTGACCTTTGTTCAAACAGCGCTGTAAAGAAACAACAAATTAATTGATATAAATTATATGATGTGGCAATATGAAGACATGGCAGAATTTACAGGGGAATTTTAGTTGTATTTTCTATTTGATTGATTTGAATAGAACTGCCAGTAGCACCCTATCTTCCTGCTGGCTGCTGTAGTGTCGTGAGCAGTAAACTGTAACATGATCTACGATCCTAATCCCCATTAATGTAAATGATACTTCTGCGGTCATGATTAAATGATTACTGGCTTATAATATGTTTATAGTTTTTAGATGGATGTAGCTCATTCATAATATGCTGCCTCTTACATTTTATTGTACAACAATTCACAAAAAAGGACTGATTTTGTCGTTCTCATCAATACAGTGTTTTAAAACCAGAAAGCCTTGTTGTCGTCTTCATAACGGTTCATGTAAAGGTATATAATAGCTCATGACGATGATGATGATGATTGATTGGTTGATTGACTTATTAATTGATTGGTTGATTAATTGATTGATGATGATGATGATGGCGACGATGATAATGATGATAATGACGGTGATGATGATGGTGATGTTGATGTTGATGATAGTGATGTTGATGATGATGTTGATGCTGATATTGATGATGATGATAATGATAATAATAATGATGATGATGGTGATGGCTAGTGATGATGGTGATTAAGACGACGATACTACTATTGATTGATTGATTGATTGATAGATTGATTGATCATAGTGATGATAATGATGTGATGATGTTTTTGAAGATCAGAATAATCTGTGATTTAGTCCTAAAATGTCACATGATTGTGTTTACATGATAATGCCAAATGAAATGATAATACCGTACATTTTTAAGACGGCATGCATGATAGCCTACTAGAATAAAAAACAATTTTCATCATCATTATCCTTCATATAGTTGTCGTTTTATCCAAAGACTATCGAGAGGAAATTGTGTTGGAATATGATATACGGAAATACGGATAAACGTGAGCTTCACAGAAGTAAACTTGGCGAAAAGGGCGGAAACGTCACTACACGGATGTAAAAGTTAACGGTAGGTTTGTATACACGTGTATACATCGGGTCCAGGTAGAAATACTACTCCAAATAAGATAGATCATATTAATGACAATCTCTATACTTGTGAGTAATAGATATGTCGATGGCCATCTTTAAGAAATCGCAGTAAACACAGTAGAACAAACATCCCTTTTATGTTATGTCTGTTAAAAGATGGGAGTTATTGCTACCTTGTTTGGCGTTCAACAATAAGGGATAGAGCAACGTCGATCTGGCGCTGCTCAGTGGCTGCCGGGCTCACGATCAATTGGGCAAAAAGAATTTCTGTTTCGGTTTAATAAAATTTGGAGTGGACTATTAGGCTATTATTATTATTATCATTATTATTATACATAGATTTTATTTTATATCATGGAGTCTTAACTGTTCAGATGATTTCTCAGTATACTCATGATGATAAAACTTATATATATAATATCATGAGGCGTAATATTGCAAATGAAGTTCAAACCATTGAAAATCTATTTTTCTTAAGAGTAGATCATTTGGTTTCTTTCACATCGATCATGCCTCAGTGCACTACTTTAAACGTACATTAAAGTACAGTTACTTTATTGTACCTGACTCACAATTATGCCTCATTTATAGCAACACTGCAATAAAAACAAATATGGGAACTGGATATCTTGCAGAGTCAACAAAATAATCTGACAGAATACTCTCAGCAGGTATTATACCAGACGGTTACAGACAGGCAGACAATGTGGGACTAACTCTGTGGTACAATAGAGCGACAGATACATGGACAGAACAGACAAACATACAGAGACAAACTGAGACCGAAAGAAAGAAAGACATACCAGACAGACAGACAGACAGTGAGTGAAGGGGAGAGGGTTAGAATTGGATCTATTAACACTCGGGCACGAAAACAGGCATATACAGAGAGAGAGAGAGAGAGAGAGAGAGAGAGAGAGAGAGAAAGAAAGAGAGAGAAAAGAGAGATAGAGAGAGAGAGAGAGAGAGAGAGAAAGGGAAAGAGAAAGAGGTGTAGGGAGAGAGAAATAGAGAGAGGGAGAGAAATAGATATACAGATAGATAGAAATAGAGAGGGAAAAGGAAAGAGATAGTGAGAAGAAAAAAGAAATAGAGAAGGAGGGAGAGAAAGAGATGGGAAAATAGAGAGAGAGAAAGATAGAGAGAGAGAGAGAGAGAGAGAAAGAGAGAGAGAGAGAGAAGGGGGGGGGGGGCAATATCATGATGAACATACAAAGAAAAGAGGTTATCATTGTAGGTACATACTGTTCCAGGATAGAGCTACTTGTTACAGGTCAAGTGTACTCACCGGACTTGTTCTCTTCTTATCAGGCATAAGTACATACACACAAATATATGTCATTCGGAGAGATAAGAGCAAATTGAGATAAACAACTGTATGATTTGTTGTACTGCTAGTATGGTACAGTATAGGACATAATATAGTATGAAGTGATCGACGTACTCTTGAAAACACGCATGTATATGCAGATTGAAGGGGAGGGAAGAGAGAGAGTAGACAATTTAGCATAAGATGAAAACATCATGGCTCGGTTTATACAGTTAGAGATGGTAAAACGGAAATTAGGATATTAGATAGTATAGGCTAAAACGCGAGCGTGAACTGAAATGAAAGGAACTGAAAGGTTGAATTTATAAGAGATGGTAACAATATAATTAGAAATGATACATTCAAGCTCTTCACGAGAATAGTATACATGATGTACCACAGTCCCAGGGAGATGGCAAGTTGCCAATAAAAATTCTCACATTCTGCATTTTCTTCTCGAGTTTTAATCAGCATTTTTACTCACATTTGATTTGAATGGCTTCCCTTTTCTCCTGGCCGAATCAATTTGCAGATGAAGAATTATTTCTTCCCAGGTCCACAATTAACAAAATGTCCTTCTGAATTCAATAGTATATGACGAATGTGCCACCAAAACAAGGTTTATCCGCCTACATACACGGTATCGCGAAGAACGTTTTGAACTGAACGACAAGGCAAATTTTACGTGTACGTCGCTCGTTGTAATGGTCGTAGTCTTTTACCGCAGACTCAATATACTGATTTGTTTGTTCCCTTCTCGGAACGGTTTATATTGAAAGCACAACAAAACAAAACACACCGATTATATGTCTTCTATATGACAAACAGGACGATTGGAGTGTATGACATTAAAACAATGAATGTTTCTTTAGTACCTTAAGTTTTAGACTTACAGGATGATATATTCATTTAAAAAATATTCAAGCTTCTCTGTAAAAAAAAAAAAAAAGAAAAAAAAAAGATGAGGGCCAATTTCAAGAAAATATTTTTCTCAATTGACGATATTGGGCTTCGCCAATTTTTATCAAATTTTTCAATCATTTGATTGATTTCTTGCAAGCCACCCACCTACAAATATTGTGACTCTGTTTTGTTTATTATAACTGTTAACCAATACAGTAATTGTCTTTGATTATGATAAGATCGTTTTTTTTTTTTAAATTGATTTGTAAACTTGCACCTGTGGAAAACAAATAATTATGCGCATGGACAATTTTCTAGAAGAATCTTCTCCCCCCTCCCTTTTTTTTTGTTAGGGGGGGGGGGGGGCTTTGGAGGCTTCGGAGGAGGCTTGGGGTCCTTAAATTCATTTTCTACATGTGATTCATATATAATCTAGAGTAGAAAGAAGGCCTGAGCCCCAGACCCCCCCCCCCCCTGAACTGCTGTGAAAGGGTCATGTTTCCAATGCTTGTCCAAAAGAATGCAGAAGAAAAAAAATAGTTAGAGAAATTGAAATTGATCATACAGAAAAGCAAATGAAGTCTTTTAAAATGAGTTTTAATCACTTGGAGGGACCGCAAAAAAAGAGCGGTTTCTGATGTATTCTTCGGAACATTTGATCCCGAACCACAGACCGATTTTTAATTGATTTAAAAAAAACACCACCGTATGCGGTTATGAAAGCAAAACTGTAAGACTCTATAAACTCGTATTAAATTTCAGCTGCCATAACATAACGTATAACCTGTACTATAAGATGATTGATAGTCATGTTAATGATACATTATTATACTTTATACAACACCTACGTGAATCCCTGTCATTTGATTGGAGGATTGTTGGTCACATGATATTCAATAGATGGTATATTGCACGGTCGTGCATTTTTGGTTATATGCGCCGTGCATTTTTGGTTATATGCAGACTGCGTACCTCTCTGCCGTGCGCGCGCGTATCCCTGCGTGTATCTGACGCGAAGGCAATCTGAATGTAATCGAGAAGGCTTGAATCCAACTTTAATTTATCTTTTATAAGGAGTAAAGCATAATTTGTTGATTGACGTTCTATTAGATCTTCTTCGATGTTGTATAAAACAAATAATGAATGTTATTCATTCGTTCAATGGTGCGAATATTTTCATTCGTTGAAAGATTAACATTAATTCTATTCAACTCAGCTGACGCCTCGTTGAATAGAATGTTAATCTTTCAACTCATGAAAATATTCGCACTATTGAACTCATAACCATTCATTATTTGTATACTATTGCTCTACAACAACAGTGCTTCCTCTCTTTAGCGGAGCGAAAGATTATACTCTATAAATAATCATAATGATAATAATGATTATAATAACAATAATAATATTGATTGTTTGCCAAAAGAAGTCTAATCAGCTCTAATGTCTGTGTTCTCTTCTTCCTGCAATTATTATCACCCTGAACAATTACCAGGAACCCATCTACACCTGGGTGGAGAGTGGCAAACGTAGATTAAGTTGCCCAATTAAGGGCGTTGTGCCGGTCTGGGATTCGAACCAATCCTTGGATTTCTGTTGAATGAACCACTGCACCACAACACCCCTAAAAAGCTGAGGCTTACAATGGGGATTGATTTTAGAGAGAACGGTAAAGAGTAATGGAATAGTATTAGCCAGACAGAATCCTCGTCACTTAAAGATAAACTCCAGTACTGGTAAAAAAAAAAAAAATTATTCTCACAGAATCAAACGGAACTTACACTGAATGTTCAAGATTACAAATAAATGACATGTGCCAAACAATTTTGGAAGAAAATGTATACTGGCTGAGTAATGAGCATAGAAAGACAAGGAAATCAAGGTAGTACTAGCCCCGACACCATGTGTGTTGTCCCATATATAGCTTTCTATGTGAGTGCTTGTTATACCCTTTTCACATCTACCAAATATTGCTTAACCCCGGGAAATAGGTGGGGCTAAGGGGGCTCTTAGCCCCACCAATTCCTTCCTTAGCCCCACCAATTACCCGGGGTAATTTTAGCCGGCTTTCTGTTCACATTACGTTTTGCCAAAGTGGGCTAACCCCACAAATAGTACGGGACTATCTGGCCCTGCAAAATAGCAGGGTTAGCCGGGCAATTGCGGGGTTAGCCGGGCAATTGTGGTGCTAAGCTGCGTAGTGTGAATCCGAACCGGGCTAAGGAGAAGCGGGGCTAAGCAACAGCCAATCACAGACAGCGTGGTCGTGTGGTCGTGAATTTGCATTTATCGCGCGCTATGCATGCAGTTCACGTTACGCATGCATGCAGTTCACGTTACGCATGCATGCTCTCTGTATTGACGTTTAGTCTTTTACGAGGCAGAGGTCATTATGAAAAAATCTTTATTATAAAATTGATTTAAAAAAATAGTGAAAGAACATGTAGCTCATAATTTTTTATTGCATTTATCATTATCAGTCATATTTACGTAGGTAAATTTATCAAGTGAATTGGATGAAAAATGGGTAATTGATTTGTATCGGTAAAATAATAAAGGGAAAACGCTTTGCGCGGTAGCAAAAGCATTAATATTCATGAGCTATCGAATAGTCCGGGGCTAAGGCGAACGTAGTGTGAATCGCGTGAAATTTCTTAACCCCGGCTAAGCACATAGTCCGGGGTTAAGAAAATAGATGTGAACAGCAAAAAAAATAGTATGGGGTTAAGGATAGTATGGGGTTAAGGATAGTCCGGGGTTAAGAAAAATAGATGTGAAAAGGGTAATACTTTACCAAGACTCGGTCAAATTTATTATGATTTTGATGACTCCAGAACCTTGCAGTGCACACCAATACTTATATGCTACATGATCAACTGTTTCTGATCCTTTCCACACCTTTTCTTTCACAATGCAATCGCATTACCAGTACTAAAGTTTATCTTTAATTGTCTAGGCGTCTTAGTAGTGTGTTAACACTTGACTAATGGGATGCGAAGGTCGCGGGTTCGAGCCACGGCACGCTACTATAATGTCCGTTGGCAAGACATTAACCGTCATTTTCCACTCTCCACCCAGGTTTTAAATTGATACCTGGTAGGAATAAATTCCGTGCATGACGTGAGCTCGTAAATCACTAGGTAACCTAGAGCCGGAATAAAATTGGAGCGCCTTGGATACTTTGTATATATAGGGCCTATAATAGGGGCATGTATAGCGCTTTAGAAGAATTCCTCTTTGTAATCATTATCATTTTATTGTTAAGAAATATCCCATTATTTTATTTATTAACTGAACCCATGTTATGGTAGAGTTTCATGATCAGCATATATATCAATGTTGCTTATACGTATTATACAGGCCAACGGGTACAGACAGGAGGTTATTGCGCTTCTAGGTGACTGCAATACAATCAGAACGATTTTATTAATTCAAAAATGCTTTATTTTTCAACATTTATTGACATGCAATCCCCTACCATTCCAATTTTGTCAGTCAAATATGGTAAGAAAAGATGTTTCACTGCGATTTGAATAGTCAAGTTCAGTCTACCGAAATTGGGTCTGACAATACAGACAACGGAATAATGACGCACGTTTCTAAATTTAGAATCGGGGGTTTCCATCGGAGACCTCTTGGAGCGTGTTCTTGCTAAGAAAAACAATCCTGTATTACCAGGCCTGTGGTTTGATTTTTTTTCATGTTGTATCGGAATTCTCCTTATGACTGTATGTTGGGGATTTTGGGGATGGTTGGGGATTACGACCGTGCTTAGGTCCACATTTGGGGGATATGACCATGCTTAGGTCCTCATTTACACGCATGTCACAACTACATTGTACATTTATCTCTCTCAATAGGTTAATCTGTGTGGGCATCCAACACTCTTCGGACATGTTCGCAATCATGTAAATTAAAGGTACTATGTCCCTTTTGCAGCCAACATCAAATTCTGTAGAGCTCTGCAGGAATTATGAATATGTCATGTCTGTCCTATCTGTGAAATTTAAACATTAGCAGTGTCCTAGTATTCAAATTATGCAAGGAAACCCGTTTACTTTCTAGACTTCACTGTCAGACCAGGGCATGTTTGAGTGAGTGACTGACTGGTAATAACATACATAAAATGAGCTGTAACAGGTACATGAGCATTTGTCTACATCAATAACCTAATACTTGTAATGGCCAAAATTAAACTGATTGAATCTTTGTGCAACACAAAGCGTACGACCATTCGGCCAGTAATAATAAGGTCTAAAAATTAGACTATTACTTAGGTGATTGCATTCACTAAAGTCGATTCGACAGCTAATGGTCGCTATTTTACCACTAAAAGCCATTTTTAAGCCCTTTGATTTTGAGGGAAGTTCTAAATTACTGATGTCTTTTCAAATGCCGTTGGAGTTTAACCTCTTCATTATTTTGGCCTGTAAATGGGACATACTACCTTTAAAAGATGAATGCCAAAGCCGCACCTGTTCTCCCGACACTCACTTCTTTCTTACCAGAGGAAGTTAGATCCCATAGAACAACTCAAAACACAACTCAAAACGAATGATTATCTAACATTTGACTTTCACTACCTATAGATTATCTGATGAGCTATTTTTAAAAATGAAACTTGCATATTCATTTCCGTCGCGTCTTGATCTAAAGTTTTGGAAAACGGGGCGTTATATGTGCAGATTCCGGGCTAACTCTGACCAAAGACAACTCGGCCCAGCTGCAAAAACGGTCAGTTTTTGACATTCTACCCTAACGGTAACCCTAACCCTAAACCTGCAAAATCTGACCATTTTTGCAGCTGGGCCGAGTTGACTTTGGTCCGAGTTAGCCCGACTCCATTCATACATGTATATTAAAGGTAATACAAAGTTTTGGTATGGGTCATGAATTTGGTTCAAATTAACATATTGGAAGCATATGCGACCCTACAATATTCAGTGATCGTCGTCCCGGTTGAAATCCAGTCTAAAGTGATGAAATTGTAAATAACAAACTCTCTATGTTGTATAGCACCCTCTCAAGGTCAATATATTAATTTAGCTGTAAAACAATTTTTCTTGACTACGATCGACCAATTTGCTATTCCCGTTTGGAAATTATATATCACAACTGCATATTCTGAGATTTTCATGGTCGCAGCTACCATCGTATGGCCGTAGGCGCTATTTGAAATTTATCCAAATTTACCGGGAGCACCGGTAAATTTTTATATTCAATTTTTCTCGAAAGCAGAAGTGTTTTAGAGGCTAAATTTGTTGGTGCTTATAATACATCCATAGGGGCATCCAAATATAACAAAATTGTAAACAATCACTATCCACCCAATTTTCAAAATTTACCAAAACTTTGTAATACCTTTAAACTGCAGTCAAGAACATGAAGCCAACACAAAAACAAAGATACCCAACAATTCTTGATCTTGTAAATCAGTCATTTACTTTTAATAAATCCTTTTATTTCCAGGTAAAATCACATCGCTCAAAATGAATGTGGTAATCTTCTATCAAAGACACGTAGGTTTGCAGATCAAGCAAAAAAATTAAAATGACACCAGATCAAATGGACTTATGATATATGCTGAAGATTTGTCTCTAAGATGACATCGTAAGAAAATGGCATGATAATGACGACATAATAACTTCAAATATTCAGGTCTGATGGTCCAGTTATAAAGACTTGTCTGAAAGATAACATGCCAGGTTTCTGAATTACAATAAAGATGTATTCAAAACTAAAAACTAAAAGAAATGCAATATATCTAGAGTTGAAAGATTTGAAGAAAAAAGGCAATAAAAAGGCCTCCAGTATGTAATTATGTGAGTAGCTATGAAAAGATTTTTTGTGGGATCCAAAACTGAAAGAAAAATATTGCTACTCTCATTATTATTTGTTGTTTTTAGCAAGTTCCCTTGTTATTCATCCTTATATGACATTAGGAAGCATCGTTTCTTAAATCCCGCTTGCACCAGTTTGGCCAGAAGGGATTAGACCTTCCTGCAAGGTCACTGACAGGTGGTTATTTCATCAAATCAGCTCTCAATTAACATAAGAAAAAGGGGATCATGGGGGACCAACAGGCACCGATTAGGCATTGTTTGCTATACAGTGCGACCCAGAAAAAACTAAACCGAGAATTATCAATGTTTTATCATAACTTAATCACAATTATAATTGATAAATGACACATATTTGTAAAGCTTAGAACTTCTCTTTCATTTGATGCAACTCATATGATGCATATTTCACGAATGAGTGATTAAAAGCAATTTGAATGAAGGAAACCAAAAAGTCATTTGGCGGGCGGTATCTGAATTTCGAAGAAAAATTCACATTTCTAGAAAGTTCAGTTTCTGACCTTCCATATGACACCTCAATCAGGAAAAATGAGCAAGGAATAACAAAGTACTGTTTGTTTAAAGTGATGCTTGCATTTCCATAATTTGATTTTTAAAGTTTGTTTTCACTGGCTGCCTGCCACAGCAACAAGCAGAATTGACAAAAGACTTAACTCCGTTTCATTTACAATCAGCCATGCATGAAGTCTGTCGTCTATGACGGGAGAATTCAAGGGATACAGCTCTTTCGTCGTGTTTAGGGAATGAACGCTATAATGGCCGAGTACTGTCGTGAAAATCCAACAGGACAGAGAAAATTCTGGTTCGCGCAGGAGCAGATTGTTTTTTACTCGCATTACCGTCGTCTTTGCCTTCCCTCGTGTTCGCGAAAGCGCGCTATTACCAATGAAAACATACTCAACCGGAAACCTCCAAGAAAAAAAAAATCTTAATTGAAGCTTAAATGTGAAATCTTGTGAAAGAATTTTAGAAAATGTACTCAAGGCAGAGATCCGACTAGTCTTTAATATATGTTGATCTGATCAAAGTCAAGATCTCATGCTTTGTGCAATTTTAGGTCCTCCTTCGAATCCATGTGGAAAAGAACTGGGTATCAGTATCAAACAATAAACAATAAATCATAACAATGTTTTGTTTGGAGACTAAAGGAAATCGTCTGCGTTTTTATGAACCACCCTATCCGCCATACATATCAATGTATGGGTTTGTCGGTTCATAATTTCGAAGACGAATCGATAGGAGTAACCAACGTTGCCAATTTGGCTATGATTGGGGATATATTCAATCCTCTTTTTACTTGATGAGTAAAAATGAAGCGATGAAGATGGAAAAAATCTGAGACTCTTTTATAAATCTTCCTCGCAGCCATAACTTGTGTCCGCCTGATATGAGAGAATGGAATTTATCTCTCTGGGCAAGGTTATAAACTTGGTCGCCAGCAGTCTCTGAAAGGTCTCTCCTCTAACGCTATACCGCCAATAATATCTTCCAACTATTCTTAAGAATGTCTACACTGAGTCTACATCTAGAACAGGCTGCTACACCCCCTAAGTGTGGTACATCTACCACGTTATCTTTCTGACGCTCCACCAGTTGGTGTGAAGTGTTCTCTAGAGTTTAATTGCCTGGTGTCATAAGCCCTATTCTATTGTAACCTTGGTGGCCAGCAGTCCTTGAAAGGTCTCTCCTCTGATGGTATACCTCCAATAATATCTTCCAACCATTCTTAAGAATGTCTACGCCGAGTGAACAGCTAGAAGAGGCTGCTACACCCTTAGGTGTGGTACATCTATCATGTTATCCTTCTATAGCTTCACCAGTTGGTGTGAAGTCTTCTCTAGAGTTTAAGTGTCTGGTGTCATAACCCTGTTCCGGGTAAATGTAACTCTGGATTGTCAAAGAGGAGATTCCTTCGAGGTGGATGAACTGGTTTGTCTGACGTGAGGGGATAAGGTTAAGGCAAATAAAGTTACGCTCCAAGTTATCATGTTGTAATTCTCCAGAATGTTTTGACTAAAATACAGTCAAACTTGTCTATAGCGACAGCCCAAGGGAAACACAAAAAGTGGTCTTTGTAGACAGGATCCTTTAGTACATGTTTCAATGAGAAACCTATTTCAAAGGAAACCAAAAATGTGGTCTTTGCAGACAGGTGGTCTTTGTAGACAGGTGGTCACTAAAGCAGGTTTGACTGTACCGTATATCATACACAAGAAAAATGATTATTGCTTTTATTTCCTGTTATCATTCCTTACTTTTTTGGTAGTCATTAAAAATGTAAGAACAGAAACCATGCTAATCATGTATTTCCATGATTCCAGATTGATAAAATATTTGAATTCATAGCTCAAGAAATTATTGATTAAATGAGTAGAAACAAAACATGACTTCTGACCTTACCCACTGATATTATGTATTGGGTTATGCACTGTTGACAAGTTTACCATGAGATGGCACTGTGCACTAAACAGTACGCTAGGGCAAAAAATTAATCAATTCATTATCACTTTAATTAAAGGTAAAGACCAGTTTTGGAAATGCCCCCCTTTTAAAAAAATGAAATGGAAGCTTGTATTACCAATCATGTGAAAGAATATGTTTGGACTAATACGTGATGATACAAATTTTGCCGAGAAACCGCATACTAATTGATATATTAGGTAAATTATTATATCTGATTGGACCTGATAGATATTGCGCACATGTCGCGCACGTGTCGCTTAGTTCCATATACATCTTTCTGTGTACAGTGCTTGTAACTTTACCAAGACTCAGTGGGCCAAATTTCTTATCATTTTGATGATTCCAGAACCTTGCAGCACACTCCAATACTTATATGCTAGATGATCAACCTTTTCTGATCGATTTCACAATGTTTTCTTTCACAATGCACTCGCATGACCAGAACTGCTCTTTATCTTTAAAGGTTGTTAACCCATCACCTATGGGGCTCAGATGACTCCTGTATTTAAAGCCTATTAAAACAAGACAATTCATCAGCCAACAGGTTAATGTAAAGGATATTTGTGTAGTAGTTTGAAGATGCCTGTTCCTACATTCATCGGGATACCCATGATGATGCATTCACTCACACCTGCAAGAAATGAAAAACATTAGAATGCAATCAAATATATACCCATGATGATGCATTCACTCACGCCTACAAGAAATGAAGATCATTAGAATGCAATCAAATATATACTCATGATGATGCATTCACTCACACCTACAAGAAATGAAAAACATTAGAATGCAATCAAATATATACCCACGATGGTGCATTCACTTACACCTACAAAAATGAAAAACATTAGAATGCAATCAAATATATATCCATGATGATGCATTCACTCACACCTACAAGAAATGAAAAAATATTAGAATGCAATCAAATATATATCCATGATGATGCATTCACTCACACCTACAAGAAATGAAAAACATTAGAATGCAATGAAATATATACCATGATGAAGCAATCACTCACGCCTACAGGAAATGAAAAACATTACAATGCAATCAAATATATACTCATGATGATGCATTCATTCACAACTACAAGATATGAAAATCATTAGAATGTAATCAAATCAAATTTTCACTGCTCATGTTCTGCTTCTAAACAAACCAAATAAATTTGGTGGACTTCCTCTGTAATAGAAACCAGAAACTGCAAACAGGAAACTTTTGCAGCTCATCAAAATTCTCAAATTACACAGTATAGATTAATCTTCCACAGTGGAAACAGTTAAATAACCTTTAACCTTAGATATCTATCTCATGATGATTGCAATTTGGCACAGGGAGATGATTTGTATGGCATATAAAGAGTTCAAAGTATAACCTCTCTCTATCTGGCAAAATCTTTAAAATCATAGTAAAACATTGAGATTTCTGAATCGATAAAATGCTTAAATTCTCACCGCAGATGGCATCTTTCTGACCAAAGTAGGCTGCTTCAAAGAGGTGATCAGAGGTTCGTTCAAACTAGAGAATAGAAAAAGAAATGATCATAGATAAACAGACATTTATTGGCTCTGAAATTTTCATTTCTTTGGGACTTTCTAGTTCTTGGCCCTTTTTTATTTGTATGGGAATCGGAAATGTCTTTGCCACATATACCCATGGCAAGTGTTGCCCTCTGCAGCAAAATACCGCAGCGGTGATAGCGAGAAAAATGTAAAAATATATTTAATGATGCTCATCAAATAGCAGAGATTTTCATCTATATCACTAAAATACTAACACAGAATATTTATGATTAAATTGTTCACAACTTTTTGTTTGAATTGGGATTTATTTGCAATTATTCAACAAGATAGCAACTACTTCCGAAAAAAACCAACCTAAGGCAATTTTAATGGCCTTGTGCATCACCTTTTGAAATAACATGATTTTTATGGGACATAGGGTTGGGTATTGAAATCGCCCTAGAGTTATTTTGTTTAAATATTTGCTATCGGGATATTACCATTTTGGGGGGAAAATTGAACAGATTGTGATGTTGTGTGTATACTTACAGATGCTAACATGAGCACACTCTCCTTCATCTTAGCTAGACCGAAGCGAGTTATACCAAGAACTTCACCCTGGAGGGGAAACAAAACAAGATGGAAAAAATGAACAGAATGGGTCTGCGGTTGTATTGATATTGATAGAACCGTTAAATTCCACTACACAATATCATTACACAGATAGTTCTATCTTGAATGGCTACAACATGTTTTTATTTTGTTTCCCTTCGTGAGAATAACATATTTTGCACCGATTGACAAATGTTTGTTTTGTGCTACACAATCGCTTAGCAAAATATCCCATTTCCGGTCTTGATTAGCTCCATGGCAACCCTTTAATCATTGGTTTTTATAGAGTAATCTTGCACTGGCAACACTTAAGTAATCTTGAAACCTTTGGTAACGCAACCCCATGATAAATAAAATAAGGCACAGGCCCCCCCCCCCCCCCCCCATCACTCAGTGTTAATCAGGATACGTGTATGCATATTCCCTCCTGGAGTGGGGCGGAAGGGGGGAGGGGGGGGGCACAGGGAAATATATTGTGTGGCATATCATGAGTTAAGTTATCTTGTTTCTTAGGTGTACACTATGGAAACGACAAAGTGAAGTAAAACCACTCAATTCAACATCACAATTCTCTCCTTCATAATTCATAATTTAGCAACACTTTCTTTACTTATCATTGAAAATATGACAAAAAGTAACAAACAAAATCTTACCTTGTACGTCATAAGATCACCAAGTAACATAACATGTCGATGGTCAATACTCATTCCATGACTAACCATTGTGTACTCTATCTCACTCATGATACACCGCCTGATAATACAAACATACAGAGACAAAAAGTTAATAAAATTCACACAAATATATTACTGCTACTACAACATTCAAGCAATTTCTTTCTACCGGGTACCCATTTATTACAGCTGGGTGGAGATTGGCAGTTGTGGATTTATGCCTTGCCAAAGGACATTAGTGCCATTACGAGGATTTGAACCCTGTACCTTGTGCTTCATAGTCCCAAGGAATTATCCACTACCCCACAACATTCATTACAGGTCTCTCTCGCATATTATTGTATCTACAAAATAATCTTCTCTGTATGGTATCCTCCAAATAATCTTCCCTATGAACACATAACTATTCACAAAACATGCTGATAATATTTCTCAAATAGAATCTCAATCATTAATCTACGTTTGCCACATTTGCCAAGTACATGGGTACCTTGCATGAAGAAATTTATCATTATTATCATCATATATTTTTTTATATCATCATCATCATCATCATCATCATTATCATTATCATTATCAATATTATCACTGTTATCATTATTATAATTTTCATTATAATCATTATCATCGTCATTGTCAACGTTATCTTTGTCGTTTTCGTTGTCGTCGTCGTCATCATCATCATCATCATTCATGACAGAGTTAAAGATCGGGACAAGGGTTAATGATAGAATTGCAGAGGGCTGAGTGCATACCTAGCTGCTTCAATGCCTAACGTCTTCTCCATCTCAACAGTGTTGTTAGACGTAGTATGTGTTCCTTTCACACCTGTAAAAAAAAAATCAAATAATGTAACAAATACAGTCAAACCTCCTTTTAACAGTGACCACCTGCATAGAAAGACCACCTGCATAAAAAGACCACCTGTCTAGATAGAATACACTGTTGGTATCCCTTGAATATGGTTTCTCATAGAAAAATGTACTAAAGGAGCCTGTACAATAAGACCACCCGTCTATGAAGACTACTTTCTTGTCTCCCTTGAGTGGTCTTTATATACAGGTTTCATTGTAGCACTAACACATCATCAACTCGTGTTAGATAGGACTACTGCAGCAGCCATTGGATGAGACCCCACAATGTAATTCAATGCACAGCTCCTTGCCTACATTACAAATATTTATGGCATGTCCTACCAACAACACATAATATATACAATTCGTATTCTGACTATTGAAATACAATTATTCGTAACAGATGAATGAAATAATTTGAAACGGTGACCATATGGTTGGAATACTCCCCCAGCGAGTGGAGAAGGTGCACATTGTACGAGCGTGAATCCAATGATCGGGGCTGAAATATCTGCGAAGAGCTTAGAGACGGTATTTTGTATAAAGTGCTAAATAAATCCAGATTAATATTACTATTATCATCAATCCTTTCCATAGTATACAAATATACACTGTCTTGAGAGGTTCTTGTTGAAACTACCAGCAAGAGTTGACTCCAATAGTACTATTGGAGGCATCGAGGCCTCAAGTTTTAACCAGTACCTCGAAAAGGAGGCAGGGTATATTTGCTTAATATCCTGCATCAAAAATGTATTCTTCCAACCAAAAAAAAATTATTAAAATTAAAAACTGTCAACATTTTAATTTTTAATGAAATATATCAAATAGAACAAATTATCACCAAAAAAAATACATACAAAAACTGAACATTTTACAGTTGTTAAAAATTCTAGAATTATTATTTTTTTTAATTAAAAAAATCAACTCCCAAATATTACTCCCAAATAGGACTTTATCAGAGCAACCTTAAATAGTTGACATATTTCTGGTCATGTGAAGAGCTTTTAACCAATCAAAAACCAATAAATGTTTGATGCAGGATATAATAGTCCATTACAAAAGCTTCACCCAATTGTTTCAGAGAGAGGGAGAGAGACGTACCTCTTGTTGCGATGACTCCTTGTAGATTGTCCCCTTCCACCAGGAGCTTGTACTTGAGCTCGCCTGCCTTCTCATCTATGTGGATCACAGCTCGGCTCACGTTAGGGGATCCCTGCAATCAGATACAATCATATCAGTAAAAACAAATGAAGTTTCTGTTCTATCCTCCCTTCCTTTTTAATGATGAAGTGATCTTTAACCTTAGCTTTCACTCAATCTCTATCTCTTTCTCCCTCATTCCCTCCCTCCCTCTTCTCTTATTTCTCTACTCTCTTTCTCTTTCTCTCTCTTATGTTATCAAGTTATTTCAAACCTTTCTATTACACAGTTTACACTCTATATTCTTTCTGTCTGTCTCTACCCCTCCCTCTTTCTTCTCATCTATCTTTTCTCTTTCCGTTCTTCTTTCTCTTATGTTAGTTTATTTTTTAATTTACTTTATTCTTTTCTTTCTCTACCTTGTTGTCTGTTTTCTGTATTTTCTCATCTTCTCATTTGTCTATGGGGAGGCACGATAGCTCAGTCAGTAAGAGCGGTGGTCTTGTTATCCAGTGGCCCGGGTTCGAAACCAAGTCGAAGCGCTAGTGCCCTTTAGGTAAGGCATTAATCCTCATTACCAGGTCCCTCAGAGAGGATCTTAAGCCGTCGGTCTTCTGGTTGCTTATTAACAAGTAAAATAACCACCACTATCACTACTATCTCCACCTCCTCTCTTTTCTCTCTCTCACTATCTCCCCTTTTCTCTTTTTCTTTCTTTCATCCTCTCCTTTCTCTATTCTGTTTGTTATCTCTTTTCCATTCTTCCTCTTTTCAGCCTTTATCCCCTCTCTTTCACTCTGCATCTCTCCTCTGATTTCTTCTCTCTTATTTCACTTCCTTTACAGCCCCACCGCACTAGTTTGGCCAGAAGGGATTAGACCTTCCTGCATGGTCACTGACAGATGGTTATCTCATCAAATAAGCTCTCAAGTAACATAAGAAAAAGAGGATCTTGGGGGACCAATGGTCACCGATGAGGCATTGTTTGCTATATAGAGGGCGCAAGTAGCTATAAGTAGTGCAGTGGGGCTTTAAAACAAATATACGTTCTCTCTCTCTCTCTTCTTGTATTCAATCTATCCATCTCTCTATCTCACTTATGCTCCATCTTTCTTTCTCCCACTCCTACATCTCCCAACCTTCACTTGATGTTTAGAAAATCATGAAGACGCCTTGAAACGATGCCAACTTGAATGATTACTAATAGGCGAGAAAAATTATGTATTGTTTTTGCTGTATCTCTAAATTAAAAACCTACAATGCAAAGTCGGATTCCTGAACGAAAAATTGTTTGCATGTCATTACGAAATAAACAAAAGTATAGTCAATATAAATGCAGGACCTCTCATTTTTAACAAAGTGCAATACCATATTTTATTGATCTTCTTAATAATCATTGATTGTTCTAAGCTTTTCTTTACAAACATTTTTTATCTGTATATTTGAACAGTTGTCTTTTTAATCAGACCAGTATTTTTAATTTTCATGGTTTCATTGTACGATTATGTAGATATGTTTTGCGAATAGATATTCTTCTCTATTATATGTATCCTCGATAGTTGTAAACACGTACATTTCAGCTTTTTAGCTGCAACATGTGCATCATTGTATTCTTTTTTTTGTTGAAATAAATAAACCTTAAAGATAAAGACCAGTTATGGTCATGCGATTGCATTGTGAAAGAAACGTTGTGGAATCGATCAGAAAAGGCTGATCACCTAGCATATAAGTATTGGTGTGTACTGCAAGGTTGTGGAATCATCAAAATGATAAGAAATTTTGCCCAGTCTTTGTAAAGTTACAAGCAGTGTACACAGAAAGGTGTATATGGGACGAGATGAACATGTGGCATACAAATCCATCCTGATTTATGATGTTACATGTACATGCCATATTTAGAATTTTAAGGTCATGCCATGCTTTTCAGGGACCCTCTTATCTGATGTTCTTCCACACTTTAATAATAACAAAGATAACGCTCACAAATTGTTTTTCACCTCTTCCCAGAACTCAACCTTCTCTTAAATCTTATGCTCCATCTTTCGTTCTGCCACTCCTACATCTCCTACCCTTCACTCGATGTCTATTAGACAATCCTACCTGTATGACCACATTAGCCACGCTCTGCTTCAAGAACTGTAGATTGTAGTACATGGAGCTCTTACTCGTCTCGGCTGGTTCCACAGTGATTAGGTTTTCAGCTACAGCTCGCAGTTGCTGTGGTAAATGACAGGGAGCAGCAAAATAAAATTCAAATTTTCAGTGTTTACTGTTTCTTTTTTCTTTCAAATTGGCACATTAGCTGCAATAAATAGTGTTGTAATCAAACATTTTTTTCCCACAAATTGTCAACTAGTCCCTTGAAACCGACTAAATCAAAGTGATAACATGTATTAAATGGTATACAGGAGATTGAAAAAAACCTAAAAAATGTAAAGATAACAGTATATGGAATGAGAATATAATGGATGGAAAAAGAGTGAACAAGAAAGAGTGAAAGACAGAGTGCCACAGACAAAGAGAGATGTAGGGAAAGAGACAGAAGGATAGAGAAGGGAGAGAGAAGGAAAGAAAATAGGGAATGAGAAGAAGAGAGAAAATAGGGAGAGAGAAGGAGAAAGAGTGAACAAGAAAGAGTGAAAGACAGAGTGCCACAGACAAAGAGAGATGTAGGGAAAAAGACAGAAGGATAGAGAAGGGAGATAGAAGGAGAGAAAATAGGGAATGAGAAGAGGAGAGAAAATAGGGAGAGAGAAGGAGAAAGAGTGAACAAGAAAGAGGGAAAGACATAGTGTCACAGACAAAGAGAGATGTAGGGAAAGAGACAGAAGGATAGAGAAGGGAGAGAGAAGGAGAGAAAATAGGGGGAGAAGAAGAAAGAAAATAGGGAGAGAGAAGGAGAAAGAGTGAACAAGAAAGAGTGAAAGACAGAGTGCCACAGACAAAGAGAAATGTAGGGAAAAAGACAGAAGGATAGAGAAGGGAGAGAGAAGGAGAGAAAATAGGGAATGAGAAGAAGAGAGAAAATAGGGAGAGAGAAGGAGAAAGAGTGAACAAGAAAGAGGGAAAGAAAATGTGCCACCGGCAAAGAGAGATGTAGGGAGAGAGAGAGAAGGAGAGAGAGTAGGGAGAGAGAAGGAAAGAAAATACGGGGAGAGAAGGAGAGAAAATAGGGAGAGAGAAGGAGAAAAAGTGAACATGAAAGAGGGAAAGAAAGAGTGCCACAGATAAAGAGAGATATAGGGAGAGAGACAGAAGCAGAGAGAGTAGGGAGAGAGAAGGACAGAAAATAGGGGGAGAGAAGGAGAGAAAATAGGTGGGGAAGAGGAGAGAAAATAGGGAGAGAGAAGGAGAAAGAGTGAACAAGAAAGAGGGAGAGAAAGAGTGCCACAGACAAAGAGAGATGTAGGGAGAGAGACAGAAGGAGAGAAATAGGGAGAGAGAAGGAGAACGTGAGAAACACTGATGAAAATAAAGAAGTATACAGCAAGCAAATGGTAAAATAAAGATCAAAAGGAGAGACTGCCATAAAGAGAGAAATATGACAGAATCTGTGAGAAAGCAAAATAGTTTTTAAAGAGAGAGAGCAGGAGCAAATGCTAAAGAAACTACTAGATTGGAATGCATGCATAAAACTTCTAGGTATTTAATATTTGATTTTTTTTTTTTCTTCATCCATTTATACAATTGAATAATAGTTTCGTTTGTAATTAGCTTTATTACATGTAACATTTCAAATTTGTTTGTTTATTCTATTAACCCATACAGTACTTTTCATATGTTTAAAGATACCAGGCTCTACTAGCAGTAATGCTATATTTTGGTTCCTTTATCCCTTTATGTTATTATATGAAACTGTTTATACGTATTGTTATGTGTTTATTATTGGATAATATATTTCAAGTTCAAGTTCACTTACCCCAGGTTTGACCTTGAGCTTTGAAGCACAGATTGACATACAGATAGACTCTGCTGATACTTCAAGCTATTTGGAAAGGACATGAGAAAACAGTTATTCAACATCACATCTTCAACATCACATCTCCTTAAGAGTATATCTTAAAGGGTATTTGGGTATCTTTGGCTCAGATTCTGAAAAAAAATCCTGGATTTAGCTCATGCTGCAATCATAATTGTAAACCTTTAGGTCAGTCAGGAATCTCATGACTTTTAGAAGTCGATCGCCTGTCTGATTATCAAGATATTTATGATTGGAATTCAAAATGTCTAAAATTGTTTGGGAAAATGGGTATGGTAAAACCGATTTTTACTTTTTTGAGGATCTTCATGATCATTTTGAAGCGCAATTTTGTTAGGGCTTCAATATTACACCATACCACAAACACTGATAACATGTAGGGCCAAGCATCTCAGATTTGTACAACTGGAAACATTGTTAAACGATGCCTGTAATAACAACATTATAGTATGAATTTTGAATGTTAGGCTTCTTGTGAGAAGTTTCAAGTATTGTAAAGAACATGTTTTTGGCTTGCAGCCAGTAGATTAAGATCATGTGCTTGATCTAAGTTGTAGTTGAAAACAAGTCAGAACAAATCTTGGAACCAGCATAGATGGCAGGTTTAACAATCATAGTATGAAGTTCACGTAAAACACTTCACATCATTGATTCACACATCTGTGTGACACTTGTTCACGACCATTCTGTGAAAAGAACTTTGCCACATTTTGACTAAATTATAACAAAATAATACTATTACCTGTTGGAGATTATCTACTATTTTAATAACAATAGTTGCATTTCTATAGCGTTTAATTATTATGACCCTGTTAATAGGAATCATTAGCTAATCTGCAATTTAGTGCCCACGCTCCACTCCCTGGGGAGTATTCCAATTTACAAGCGCACATATGCCAATCCATCCACATTGACGTTCGCATCCCACCAGGTACCCATTTAACACCTGGATGGTGAGTGGCAAAGGTAGATTAATGTCTTGCCAAAGGACATTAGTGCCGCAGCGGGTCTTGAACCATGAACCATGTGTTCCAAAGTCCAATGACGTTACCACTAGACCACGACACCTCTACGTATCATTAACAGAATTACAAACCTTTTTAAAAATGAAAATTGACCTCGAAGGCACAAGTCTCAATGACTTTGTACCAGGTGACAAAATTCAGTTTACGCTTGGAGACTATCATCAAGTTTGTCAAGTTTCGTGCCGCAGCGGGTCTTGAACCATGCAATCCAAAGTCTGTGACATATCCATTAGATCACAACACCTCTACGTATCATTAACAGTATTACAAACTTTTTTATAAAATGAAAATTGACCTCCAAGGCACAAGTCTCAATGACTTTGTACCAGGTGACCAAACTCACAACGCTTGGGAGACTTCATCATCAAGTATGTAGAGGTGTCGTGGTTGAGTGGATATGTCACCTGACTGTGGATCACAAGGTCCGTGGTTCGAGTCCCGCCGCGGCACTAATGTCCTTTGGCAAGATAATAATCTACATTTGCCACACTCAACCCAGGTGAGGTAAATGGGTACCTGGTAGGATTATTCCTTGAAATGCACTGTGCGCTGATTATGGCTGCTGGAACTAAAGCTATGGTGATAATTTCCAAAGCTCTTTGAAAGCAATTTGAGACGATGTATACTGTGATATGCTCTATACAAGAACCAAATATTATTATTATTATTATTTTGTCAAGTTTGGTTCTCACCTTGAGAAGTCTGATTCTGTCCAGGTCTAACTTGATCAGCACAAAGCAATTATCAGGTAGAAACACCTCCTCGATGTATTCACTGACCTCCCCTAGCAAGGTCTTCTCGATGCGACCTTTGACCAGCCGGGCAAAGTCTGCATCGTTGACGATATCAAGCTCAGCCGTGATGATGGGAGTACTGATGTTCTTACTCGCGTTGATGATCTCCTTGATACGAGGCACACCCAAGGTGATATGTACAGGTCAAAGGTCAAGGAATAACTAATTTCATAACATAAATTCAGATTAGTTTATCTTAATGCTGCAATAATAATAATACTAATAATGTATACTAATGGATGTATCTATAGCGCATAAATCCATCATGCAAGGTTCTCATGGCACCTCAATATTACCCCGGCTCTTCTAGGCTACTGATTTTGGTGCTCACGGCATTTAAGGAATTCCCTCCTACCGGTACCCATTTAACAACCGAGTGGAGAGTGGCAAATGTAGATTAACATCTTGCCAAAAGACACCTGTGCTGGCCGGGGTTTGAACCCATCTCCAGTCAAGTGCATAAACCACTTGACCATGACACTTCTGTACTTGATATACTGGATTAAATTTGATTCTACCTAATTAGCCCAAAGAGGGAGACTCACTCATGTTGGAAAGCCCAACACAAAAAGATTACCGATACAGAGATTGAAAATTAGCATCTCTGAAACAACTAACGGATCATGCTGGTTCATGGCTTTTAATGAAAATTTTTCAAATTGTTAAATCTTTGTCAACCACACTTCTACACATCTCCTCACTCTTTCAACACCAGAGAACATCATATTCACTGCGACCTACATTAGCTCCTAGCTTTCTCATCCCAAAATCCCCAAACAGGCTGGCTTCAAATCCTTTCAATCCATTGCCCCATGCCTATGGAACAAGCTCCATGCATTTTTGAGAAATGTTATTTCATGTGACTTCTTCAAAGAATATCTGGAAACAAACCTCTACAATTCTTAATTTGACTTAATCTAAGGGACAATGCCCTTGTATCCTCTGGAAAAGACGCTATATACATTTAATTAATATTATCATCATCATCATCATCATCATCATCATCATCATCATCATCATCATCATCATCATCATCATCATCATCATCATCATCATCATCATCATCATCATCATCATCATCATCATCATCATCATCATCATCATCATCATCATCATCATCATCATCATCATCATCATCATCATTATTATTAGCATGCTTGTTTCATTGTCAAGGATATTCATGGAAGCCACCCCAGCGAAATGGAAAGTCTTGAGGGTCATCTGCGTTCCCGGTTCCCCGATGCTCTGGGCTCCGAGGGCACCGACGGTCGTACCAGGTTCAATACAAGCCCTCTGATGCTTAGTCTTACACATGGTCAGGAAATGATGAAGCTGGGTCGATGTGATCCGATGTAACTGATACAAGACTGCACAGAAAGAAAGAAAGAAAGAGAGAGATGCAGATAGTCAAAATAGTATTCTATGAATGCTCCCCAGGGAGTGGAGAATGAGCCAGGTTCAATACAAGCCCTTTGATGCTTAATTTTTAAGAAATGATGAAGCTGGGTCGATGTGATTCGATGAAGCTGATACAAGACTACACGTAAAGAAAGAAAGAAAGAAAGATGCAGTCAAAATAGTCTTCTATGAATGCTCCCCAGGGAGTGGAGAATGTGTCAGGTTCAATAGAAGCCCTCTGATGCTGGGTTTTACACATGGTCAAGAAGTGATGAAGCTGGGTTGACGTGATTCGATGGAGCTGATACAAGACTACACGGAAAGAAAGAAAGAGATGGAGATTGTCAAAATAGTCTTCTATGAATGCTCCCCAGGGAGTGGAGAATGTGTCAGGTTCAATAGAAGCCCTCTGATGCTTGGTTTTACACATGGTCAAGAAATGGTGAAGCTGGGTCGAGGTGAATCGATGAAGCTGATACAAGACTACACGGAAAGAAAGAAAGAGATGCAGATAGTCAAAATCAAATTCCTACCTTTTGTTTTACACGTAAGGTAAGTTGACCATTTTGAAAACTTATCTCATGTAAATAAAATGGAGATGATGCTACATAAAAAAACCGCATCATATTTTTAACCTGTAAATGAACGGCAGCTATGTGCAACAAAGGACTTGCGAGTATTCACTGAGCTATGTGTTATAAGATACAAAATTGTGAAGGGTCTTAAATTTCAAATCATTGTTTTACAAAATCGCAGCGGTTTTGCCACATCATGTCTGAATTAGCCTTTAGTCTTTTTATTTTATAATGAGATCATGGCGACAAATGTAATCGGTATTTCAGATGGTCCATCTTACCATCGGGTTCCGTCTGGGCTTCTGCGATCTTGTATGCTCTTCGACTCTTCTGAAGACTGGTGCAACATTCATCTATGTAGTCCCTGTATTCAGAATAAGATGAAGGTTAAAAGAATATGAGAAAGTACTTAATGTGCTGTAGCAGACTACGCTAGCAGACTACAGTACAGTAACAGGCTACATTAGCAGACTACAATAGCTGCCCTCACCATCAGAGGGTGGCTTTAAAGCCCTTCTGCACTAGTTTGGCATGGGGGATTAGACCTCCCTGAAAGGCCACTGGCAGGTGGTTATCTCATCAAATCAGCTCTCAATCAACATAAGAAAAAGGGCATCATGAGTGATCAATGGGTACCGCTTAGGCACTGTTGGCTGTATAGAGAGCGCAAGTAGTTGTAAGAAGTGCAGTATCGCTTTAAAGTGTGACATTACATCTACAGCCTTGTCTTCTCACCTCAGTGTGGTCTTGAACTCTTGACTGCACTCTGCAAACTCTTTACTCTTGAGGATCTCACCGGCCATACGTCGGATATCGATGCTTCCCAGTGAATACTCCTTCTTGGATGGGTACTTGTTCTATTAAAGAACACAATACAAGAAAAACAATACCTTTTATCTTTCCATATGGTTTTGCATGATCTCTTCCAAGGCCTGTGGCCAGTTTCACAAAGCCTTTTTCTAATAGAGTGGTGAAGTGTGACATCATCAAAAATCTATTTTTGGAATTTCTCAATTTTTTCTTCATTTTCCGAAAGAGCATCAAACATAATGTCCGAAGTTTGAAAACCAATTGAATATATTAAGTATTGGCTGAGATATGACTATCTGAATAAAAAGGTGTCCTATGGGAACTCGTTGTTATAGCGCTCTGGTTCATAACTTTAGGAACCAGAGCACTATGACACTATGACAAATGACAAAAATCAGCGACAAATCTGCTGATAACCAATCAGAATCAAGGATTTCAGTAGCTTATAACAGAGACTGTCATTTATCACTGATGACAAGTTTTGTGAAACGCTGCCCAGGGCACATTTTCATAAAACTTGCTACCAGAACAAGTGACGATAACTGTTTTGAGCTACTGAAATGGTTGGCATTTGATTGTCTGATAAAATGTTTTATGAAACAGGGCCCAGGTCAGGACCCCACTGCAATTAAAATTGACTTTTGACCTCTGTCTATGTGACCCTAAATCAAATCATTCCATCAATCTACCTACCATCAAACATTTATGGTTTTCAATTTAAAATATCTTACAAGATATATATCAAAGGCAGGACCCCACTGCAATTAAAATCTCATTGCTTAATACATGTCTGACCTCTGACTTTTGACCTCTGTCTAAGTGACCCAAAATCAATTCATTTCATCAATCTACCTGCCATCACACATTTATGGTTTACAATTCAAAAGATCTTCCAAGATATATATCTAATATAAAGGCTTTAACTGATACACCCTATTTCATTTTCCAACTATTTTTTTTTTAACTGTTATTACTTTGTTTCACATATTGAAGTTGATTTGATATGTACATTGTAAATGTTTATAACCTGTTTTTTTTTTTTTTTTACTGAATTTGAAATAAAATGTATACAAAATTAAAAATTAAAAAAAATATGTAAAAAATTGAATAACATAAAAATGTCTCAACAGGCTGGTTGTAGACCATTTGGGAATAGACTAATTGGGTAGTAGACAAACTAGTTGTGGACCAAATGGCAATTCACTATATAAAGTGTACCTGAACGTGCTGCAAGACTCGAGGTAAGTCGACCTGTTTGCCCTTCCCTTCCATAGCTGCTGGGTCCAATCCATCATCACCGTACTTAAACTGGATGATATCACTCATAGAGTTACGTACTGTCTGATCATAGTGCGAACACAGGTCCTCCAATGACTGTAGGTTGAATGAGAAAAATAAAGTGTGTTCCAACAATGGAGGTAGATGAGAAAATGTGAACACAGGTCCTCCAATGATTGTAGATTGAATGAGAAAAATAAGGTGTGTTCCAATAATGGAGTTGGTAGATAGGAACAATGCGAACACAGCTCTGCTATAATGAATGTTCGGTAGATGGTTTAGTTCTGCTTCATATCAGATTTTGTAAACAGTGACATTCCAAATAAATTAATGTCAACTGAGAAAGACAAGATATGTGCTGAACTGAAGGTAGAGACAATGATAAGAACAGTGAGCTTTGAATGACTTTGTTAGAAACTAGTTGGAGAAGGGACTATATTGTTGCACTTGCAAAAGGAACACTTTTACTCTTCATTATAGTAACCCTTTTCTAAAGGCTCACACAATGCAGCATGGCACACTAGTTCACAGCACTGCGCAAAAGTCTGAAAATACTCGACTGTACTTGTCCTGAAAGAAATAGAACTTCTTTTTAGTCAAATAGTAACATAAAACCATTTTCTCTCCAGTTCTCTCATGAATCCGGTAACTTTTGAAAGTTATCTCTTACAAGCTGTGATTACTATACACGGTGTCTCAGCAAACAAGATTAAAACGTTTGCAGAGGTGTTTTAAGCACTTAACTTGAAATGCAAAGGTTGTGGGTTCAATACCGACACGGCACTAATGTCCTTTGGCATCAATCTACATTTGCCACTCCATACCCAGGAGAGAAATAGGAACCGGTACAATGATGAAAGCCGTTGTGTTGGCAATTTCCATATGCACTCAACGTGACCATATGGTAGAAATACTCCCCAGGGAGTGGAGATGGTGCACATTGTGGGTGAATGAATCCGATGACCATGGTAATAATATCTGTAAGGTGCTTCGAGACAATATTTTGTATTAAACACTATACAATTCCAGATTATTATTATTATTATTATTAAGAACAATTATTATACCGATCATGCCTAACACTCAACACCTCCTTACCTTAACCAGTCTTCTTTGCATGTAGCCCGTCTCTGCAGTCTTTACTGCGGTATCCACCAAACCTACACATAAAGGGAACAAGACCTTTAATAGATAAACAAGACTCCCAAAATCATTTAAGATTGTGAAACTGTAGATCACTTTAAGAGAAATCTAAAAACACATCTAAAGACAAGTGTTTCACCCTAAATATATTTTGTTCAGTTCTATTGTACTTTCAGAGTCTTTTTGTTATGACATTTAATCTGTTTGTGCCTGACACAAGATTAAAGGGATTGGGTAACTTTGCCTCAGATCCTTAAAAAAATCCTGTATTTAGCTCATGCTGCAATCATAATTATAAACCTTTAGGTCATACATGAATCCTATGACTTTTACAAGCCAATCGCCTGTCTGATTATCAAGATATCTATGATTGGAATTAGAAATTTCAGAATTTGTTTTTTAATGGTTTTTACTTTGTAAATAAGGCATAAAAATTAGTATGGTAAAACCAGTCACTCAAAGATGTTTACTTTTTTGAGGCACTTCATGATCATTTTGAAGCACAATTTTGTTAAGGCTTCAATATTACACAATATCGCGGACACTGATAACACCTAGGGCCATGCATCTCAGATCTATATTTAGAATATGAAGGCATTTGAAGAGCCATGTTTTTCAGGGAACATCCTTTTATCTGATGTTCTTCCACACTTGCATAATAAGAATATTAATGCTCACAAATTATTGGTCACCTCTTCCCAGAACTCAACCTTCTCTTTAAGCACCTTGAACACCATCTGGGTGGATATGTTGCGCATGATGAATGTCTGCATTATCATTATTATTAATAACTGCCGACACAAGAATAGGAAAACTTACCTTCTCTTCCTGCCATGGTGTGAAAAAAGAACTCTGATGGAGTTAATCCCGAGTAGAAACTGTTCTTCACAAATCCTTTGGCTGCCGGAATACGGGCTGTATGCATGAGAATAAAGCACAAATATGATTTCGTCTCTAATATGCCTCCGCCTAAATTCAGTTATTAAAGATCATGGCTTGGATTATTCTTGAAATTTCACGATGAGAATAAAAAGCCTATACTAGCCTATCAATTGATCTTGTGCATCGCGATAGTTCATGACTTAAATCATACTTCAAGCATGTACATTGCGATAACATTGCTAAAACTCCTGAGAATTCATGGAAATTGACCTTTATGACCTTTCACCTATTTACTCTCAAATCAGATCGTATTCCTATGGTGATACATGCTTGTTAGGATTAAATTATGAACAATTAAATTAAGTTAACTAGATCTAGCTTTTATTCTCCCCCCCCCCCTTCTCTCTCTCTCTCTCTCTCTCTCTCTCTCTCTTACAAATGGGGCGCTGCGAGAAGGTTGAGATGCAATCAATTGCAAATTTGCAATTTGCAATTAATTACAAAACTTACGCTTGCTTTGGGGATTTTCAATTGATTTTCAATTGATTGCAACGCCCTATAAGAGATGTAGGAGTCTAAGGTTACATTTCATCGCAAATAAAAAGTTCAGAGACAAGGGCCTAGACTGAAGTCAACTTACAGTGTCTTTTGAAATGTGGAAGTGCTCTGTCCTCAAAGCCATTCGGGATTCTCTTGCCGCTGATGGCCTGCTGTCCTACGCACGCTATCATCTGAGAGATGTTGATGAACGAACCTACGGACAAGAATTTGTCAAAATTGTTATACCATAAACAAAGTCAGCTAGATTCATGTTAAAGGGGAAGTCCACCCTGATGATAAGTTTGTTTTAATACAAGGAAAAAAATGAGAACAGATCAGTGAAGGTTTAGGAAAAATTGGACAACAAATAATAAAGTTATTATAACTCTTCATGAAATATTTCAAATCTGTCAGTCAAAAATCTCTAAATATGATGTTCCCCCTCACATTTTATCCTTTGTTAAATGCAAGGAATGTCATTAAATTCCATTTTGATCAAAAGATATATTTTCTTCATGCCTATCTCAACCATACATCATGGATAACATGTTCTTTCATGCACCGCCATATAAGATAGGTCTACTATTCCGTTAACATTCAGAGAAATGGAGATTTCGGGATGACATCGCAATTTCTCTACTATGAAGCATTTGTGAAGCGGTACTGTTATATGACCTCTAATGCTACTAAAGGTTACCAAGAAAGCCTTAGCCACTCACCTTTTGATCCACAGACAGCCATATTGAGAGGACTGTTACTCTTGTGTAGCTCCCTCAAGCATGCCTTACCAGCGTGGTCTCTGATCACAGACAACTCCTTGAGGATCATAGACTGCAATTCAGAACAAAGATAAAAACCCGCTGGTTCCAAGATTTTTTTCTAACTTGTATCCAATTACATGGGTGTAAGCCACAAATATGTTTAACCAATTGACATTTCTCCTAGGAAGCATTACATTTATTAAAGTTATTGTCCTAATGGCGGACTAATGAATATTAATAAGTCAGAATCAATAAGGAGAACTTGGGTATTTGTCTCTAGTTTATCATGACTGTGCCATGGACCAGTGATGGCCTGGTGGTAGAATCGCTGCCCGACAAGCAGTAGATGGCCGGTTCAAATCCTGCTGGTTCCCAAAAAAATTCTGACTTGTTTCCAATTTAACAGATCTTTATTCACTGGGTGTAAGCCACAAATATGTTTAAACAATTGACATTTCTCCCAGGAAGCATTACATTTATAAAAGATAAAAAAGTGAGAGAACTGTCACTCTTGGGTAGATTCCTTCTAGCCCAACCCTGCCCCATTTAACACCACACGTAAGGACTTCCTGCCACAAAGTACGCCCATGCAAAATAGATTCAGTGGACTCCAAATGGACCTAAATTAGGCCTGTTTTCATCGGCTTGAGTTTGCCAAATATCCCAATATTCTAACTATCCCAATCGCAAATTAGCCAGTTAATTTGCGGCTTCATCAGCGGGATATTTGGTCGAGAAAATACCCTGAGAAATCTTGGTTTTGTATGGTGGGCTTATTTGCCCTAGTCAAAGCTAGTTTGTGATGAGCGTATCGGTCTGGTGAAGACGCAATTTCGAGCTTCGGGATAATATCCCGAGTCTGAAAATAGCAGGTTATTTGGCAAACTCAAGCTGATGAAGGCAGGTCTATTGATGGGAGTTTTCTGAGGTTTGAGTTGGCTTACCTCTAAAGTCTCCTCAGCGGTACATCCTGCTTGAGTTTGGAGTTTACCCACTTCCAGCTGCTGAATGTACTCATCACACTTGGAATACCTAGAAATTTATAATGAAAGAATAAGATCATCTTATCAAGACATAATATTTCTGTACTCTAAAAAATCTATTAGGTACCTCAAACTTGAGTGCCTTATCTTGGTAGCTGGGCTAAAACCAGGAACATACTCATCTCCACTGCCGGCTGCTGGCTTCAATCGCTTGGGCCCACAGAAAATTTCATTGTAGATACATTTCATCAAATTTGTATCTATGATGACAATATTTGCTTTCTTTTGTGGTATATCAGATCTATTCCATTCAGCTAGTAAGAATAGCGAACTCGTCTTCGACTCATTCAATATTTGCAAGCCGAATGTGATATATTTGATATACTACTCATCTGATATACTACTCAATGGCAGCCAATATTAAACAGATATTGAACTCTTCTGCGACTCATGCAATATTGGCAAGCTGAATGCAATATATCTGACAATCTACTCCATGGTAGCCAATATTCTTTGACTCATGCAATATTGGCAAGTTAAATGCAATATATCTGATATGCTATACTACTCAATGGCAGCCAATATTACACAAATATTGAACTCGTCTTCGACTCATGCAATATTGGCAAGCTGAGTTAGATTTGCAGTATTTGTCCTTACCCTTCATGAAGGAGCTGTTTCTGGGCCTGGAGAAGACCTGCACCAGGGGTAACATCCCCAATACCAATGGAGAAACCACGGTTACCTAGCAACACACAACAAACAACATTTCATTCAATCATGTATGCCAAGAAAGTTGGAAAATCAAATCAATACAGACTTCATACAAGAACAAAACAAAACAAAGATGAAGAAGTACACACAAAATAAAGATGCTAAGAAGCATGTAATAAAAGTCTTTCCCCTAATTTCCAAGTGTTTACCCAACAAAAATATTGGCTCAACATCAATAATAATAATAATTCTGTTTAACCAGGGAAGCCTCATAATTCTGATGGTATAACTCTATTATCAAATAAACATTTACTTTAATTGTATTAAAGAGAATTGTTGCTGAGCTACCCTGAGTGACCCTGGACGGTGTGCACTCTTAAAGTTTACACTATTACTATTACTATTAATATCACCAATGCTGTTCTTCCTGAAGGCCCTGCAATTATTATTACCCCAATGATTGCTCATGTTTAATGTGTTAGAAATGAATAGTTACTTCAGTTTTCTTAATAGATTAGTGATACACAACATCATCTGAGCAGCAGCTAACCAATATGATTGGCCTTGCTATTGGGGACTCTCCTTACAAGGACTGCTGGTGTGACCAGCTGTCAAAAATTATATGTGGATACCTGGGCCCAGTCTTACAAAGAGTTGCGATTGATCCAAATCAGTCGCAAGTCTTCCAATCAATCGCAAGTTTGCAATCTCCTATCTCTTATGTACATAGTTGCGATTGTTATCAACTCTTTGTAGGACGGGGCCCTGAACTGGCTATTGTTCCGATTGCAGAATATATTATACAAAAAAACAAAATCTTACTGAGGTATGCAGGACAGAGTTTAGCCATTCGACTCATAGCATCAGCAGCGTACTCCTCTCCATAGTCCCGCAGTAGGATGTAGAAGATGTTATTCTTAGATCCAGACCCTAGTGTGCTCTTGTCCATGGCCCCACACATCAACTGACTGTTATGGACAACTATGTCTGGAAGGAAGAATACATCACATTCAATCTTGTTGATTATGGCTTTAAAGTTCATCCCCATCAATCCACATTTTAGGATTACAGGGGAACTTGGCAATATTGATAACTCCATACTTTTTCATTTTAAGTTTTTCCTTTTACCTAGTCAAGCATCGCTTATGATTGCGGTCTCCTGCACTTTTTCAACAGATAGTTTGGACAATACTTAAAATTTATAATAATATCTTTAATATAGAAATATTAAGTTTCGTTATCATATACGTTTATATGTTCTTTGTTATTCTGTTATAAATTATATTTGGAAAAATGCAGAAATCAAATCAAATCAAAAGTCATAAAAACAAACAAAAACAAGCTCTAATTTTTGTGGCATGTGCACACATTGTCTACTTGTTGAATCACTTGGCATATGCTACACATGCCCAGCTGTTAAGTTGGTGAAATATTAAATCTTTTTGAGTAGATTTTCTCATAGCTTCAGTCAGTGGAGCAGTTGCATAACTGTTTTTACTCTCCAGAGGGCTCTAAACGCTGGTCACTGGAAGAAAACCTCTCGGGAGACCCAGGAAAACTTGGAGGGAAACCATAGAAGAAGATGCCAAAACATCTGGTATCAGTCATATGGATCCCACAGACAGGAAAGCATGGAAAGCAGCCATTAAGGAAAGGTGGGACAAATGGACTTTAAATGCTGATGATAATGAGTCATAGTTAAAATGACAATCGATTATTCTCTCTTTAATAGAGGCAAAAGTAATGGGAGAGCAAAGGAAAGTGGAATAAGAATAAGTAGAAAAAAACATATATGTACCTTTTTGAGCAATATTAATTAACAAAAGAAGTTTGAGTAATGTATCATTGGTAAACTTATTATTGGGAGAACAAAAACAGGACTGTTGGTGAAGAATTGTATACAGACCAAAACCTTACAAAGTTTTTAGCCTACAGATAGGGACAAACTTACAAGAATCATTGACACATAGGTCCTCTCCCGAGGTGTAGTTCTTTCCCTTGGCTCGTAGGTTAGCCTTCACATCACTGTCCGAGTTGGGTCTGAGAATTAGACTAAACACCTGCTTGCCAGTCCACAATCTAACAGGCTGGAATGGAAGAAAAAGAGGACAATTTTGTTTTCTATTTATAATAATAATAACAATAGCGGAAAGCTATATTGGCAAGCTGATATACTATTCAATGGCAGCCAATATTATACAAATATTGAACTCACAATCCAGTCCACAATCTTACAGGCTGGAATGGAAGAACAAGAGAAACATTTTGTTCTATTTATAATATTGATAATAATAGTGTCTTGTATAGCACTCATGTCTGGCACTCCATTATAATTATCCTGTAGTGTGTAGTGGAGTTTATTTTTTTAATTACCTGACTGCTAAGAAAGTATAAATACTTGTTAGTAAGCAATCAGAGGACCTACAGCTTTAGGTCCTCTCTGAGAGACTTGGTAATGCCTTACCAAAGGGCACTAGCGCATCGCCTTGGTTTCGAACGCGGGTCGCCCAATTACAAGACCATTGCTCTACCGACTGAGCTTTAGTACAGCTGCTATTACACAGCTGCTATTACAGCACTCTAGCATTTCAAGGAACTGATTTCTGCCAGATACCTACATTGTATTTACCTCACCTGGGTCAAGTGTGGCAAATGTAGATTAACGTCTTGCCAAGGGACATTAGTGCTGTGACATATATTAAATTTCTTACTAAAAGAAATATTTAAATAGCAAAAATTAGCAATTCTAACCACGCCCCTCAAGGCAGTCAATATTGTATATTATTACCTGATGTTCTTCCACACTTGCATAATAACAATGATAACGCTCATAAATTATTTTTCACCTCTTCCCAGAACTCGACCTTCTCTTTAATTACCACATTCTGAGTTATTTCCCTACCTTCTGTATAGCTGGAGGAGGTAGTGTGATTCTCATGTTGGTTTCTTGGCTGGACAGCATTGCTGCGACGAGCTGACATGCTCTAGATCGATCAAAGAACACTTCCTTGGAGGTCAGCAGATAAGCACCTGATAATAGAAATACAATTAGAATTCAACTACCGGTACTTAAAGGTATTGTTTAACAATGTTTCCAGTTTTACAAATCTTAGATGTATGGCCCTACGTGTTATCAGTGTCTGTGATATGGTGTAATATTGAAGCCCTAACAAAATTGCGCTTCAAAATGATCATGAAGTGCTTAAAAAAAGTAAAAATCTTTGAGTGACCAGTTTTACCATACTCATTTTCCCCAATAGACTGTAGTCTTATAAAAACTGTTAGGAAAAACGAAAAATGAAATTTCGATTTCCAATCATAAATATCTTGATAATCGGACAGGCGATTCCTGACTGACCTAAAGGTTTATTATTATGATGGCAGCATGAGCTAAATCCAGGATTTTGTTCCAGAATCTGAGGCAATATTACCAAGTCACTTTAAGGCTTGCTCATATACGCCCCAGTAAAATTAAGCTGTGGTTTACAGCAGTTTTTTTTCAAAGAGTACTTAAAGGTAAAGACTAATATATTGCCTATCTATTGCCTGTTGAGAGATACAAATGCACGTGTCGCGCACGTGTGTGTAGTCCCATATACATCTTTCTGTGTACAGTGCTTCTAACTTTATGAAGACTTGGCCAAATTTCTTATCATTTTGATGATTCCAGAACCTTGCAGTACATCTATGCTAGATGATCAACCTTCTCTGATCGATTTCACAACGTTTCTTTCACAATGCAATCGCATGACCATAACTGGTCTTTAGCTTTAACATGTGCCAATCACTTGAGGAAAAAAAAATTGTTAAATGCTAGAATGTATCAAATCAACCCCCAAAAGCTTTACCTGGCATTCTATAGATAACAGTTACGGAATATGAAGAAAATAAAGGAGGCAATAGAACCATTGGAGTCACCTCTTGCCCATAGTTTCAACCAGAACCTCTCAAGTCAGTATATATTTGTATACTATATTTCCAAGACAAACTCGCTCTCTGTCAATCAAATGCTACGATTTTAGTAGCTTATAACAAAAACTGTCATTTGTCACTGATAACAAGTTCTATGAAACAGGGACCGGGTTTCGTTCTCGTTGGTATGACTGAGGTGTCCTTCATGATCATCATTTACCTGTGATGAAGTCTTGTATAGCAGCAATCAATGGTTCTCCGTTCCTGGGTGTGACCAGATTGGACTTGACCTAAAACAGTGTGAAATACAAGTTTTGGAGGCCATCACAATCATAATAATAATAATAAAAATATTCCGCTTTTATATAGTCCTTTATACAAATATCTCTACCGGTAAGCGCTTTACAGATATACTATTACCCGGTCATTGGATTCAATATTTGCCCACACACACTGTGTGCACAATCTCCACTCCCTGGGGAGCATTCCAGCCAGGCGTTACTTGACGCTCAAAAACGGTTTGACCAACAATGACATGGAAATATATTCTGCATACTTGAATAGATTTTAGATTCAGGAAAGTGTCTATTTATCAGAAACTCGAAATTACATTAGTGTCTTCATCTTTTGATTGATTTTCGATTTGATGTCTATTTATTCCATATACATCAACATAATAACATTTACAATCTTACAACTTTAAATGTATGATAATGACATGGTATATACAGAAAAGGGATCATCTTAAGCATAAGCCTGAAGCGACGTCCTTTCGAGAATGATAATCAGAATACATACAATATGAATCGATGCATAAAAATTAGGTTAGGAAGGGGAAAAAGATGGAAAAAGGGCATGGGAAGAGAAGGGGCAGAGTGAAGCAGGGAGGGAGGGAAAGTTCATTCATGAAAGTATCAGGAGTATATGATTGTATATCAAGTCAAGTTGTGCATGTATTTCTGCATCTTAAATCCCCTATTTGATGAAAAAAACATTTGATATAAATGGAAAACTGGATGAATCTAGAATACAAGTATAAAGGAATAAAAGTATTTACCCTTTCATTATTGCACAAAAGCGAATCAAAACCTCATTTTCTGCACCCCTTCAAATTAGGGGTCAACAGAGGTCAAAATTGCCGAAGTTACAGTGACGACATAACATGTGGACCTGACCGTTTCACCTATATAGCTGAGGTGATAAGCTGTGCTTAATTAATGCAAAGTCATTGTGAATATGCGTAGGTCGACAACTTCTGATTTCCAAAGCTTTAGATTTCGAGTTTTCATAGAGCTGATGTTCCGCTGACAGACACTAAAATGGCATATAATTGATAATATTGTAATCTATGGCTTATAAGCTTTCCGTTGATATATAATTCATCCATTTAATTTTTAAGTTCGGATATGGTCTTTAAGTATGGAGCTGGCCTTCGACAGGACTTTGGCCTCTGTCGGCTCCTCCATTCTAAATTTAGTTCAATCTCTCATCCCCCTTTCTCGCTTATGTAAATGTATATAGGTATATATTTATGTGTATGTGTTCATATCTTGTATTATTGGAAGTAAATTTGAATTTACTATGCTTGCAGGGATTTGAACCATGGTTTATATAAACCGCCTTTGTTGGATAATTCTTGCCCCGTTCGTCTTTTTTTACTCACCCCCATGAGCGTAAGAGCCTCCGCTTTTGCTTCTTCGGTCTGAGGTAAATGCAGGTTCATCTCGTCCCCATCAAAGTCGGCATTGTACGGGGTACACACACAGGCGTTGAACCGAAAGGTACGGAACGGCTTCACTCTGGCCTACGTCATGAATAATAAACACAATGAATGAATTTCATTTAAATAAACTAGATGGTGTCACAATGGTGTTCGAGTATAAGACATGTAGGCAGTTCCTAATATTTCGTTTTCATGAAATGGATGTTATTCCAATATAATATTGTTAATATGGCTAACAGTTCTCTAGTTGCACCTCTAGAGATGCCTTGCGGCACCCGGGTTGAAAAACACTGTAGTATGGAATACAGGATTGAGGCTTTAATCAAAAGCATAAGCCCATAACTTGTCTGAACTAAGGATCTCTCACTTCATGAAACACTGAGGACTTTAAAGACGCATAGACGTTGGCTCTCATGGGGAATTTGACACTGTTCGGGTGTTTACCCAATAACAGATGTTGTCAATCACCAGAATTAGCCTTCAGTTTTATGACCGATAGACCCTTATGTAATGCTTTGCTTTTCCTTCACCAGAAGACTCTCTGAGAGACTAAGGGGTATTTCTTGATTGGCCTACAGGTTTGCTGTGTGCAGACTTGTACACCCATTAACGGTATTTCCACTAAGTCTGGAGTCAGCGAATTATGGCCTTCTGCACATGGAAACTGACGGCCCACCCACTTTAATAATAATAATAATAAGGTATTTATATACCCCAAATTGCATATTGCCTCTAAACGGTTTAGAAGGAAAATAGTAGTCTATGTTTACAAAGACTGACAGAGAAACGAGACTCCATCAAAACTATCAATGAGAGAAGAGACAAAATAAACCCATAATAAAGAGATATAAAGAGAGAAAAATAGTTACCTTATGTGCCATGATGCTAAGCTTATGAAGCGACGGTTGACGATTGAAGAGAACAATGTCCCCATCTATCAGATGTCTCTCTACCGTGTCACCATACTGCACACAAAATGAGAAGTTAACGTTCATTATATCATTGATTATATTTAGGATTAATGAAATCCTGTTTAATGATTGGTCAACATAGCATCATGTGACCAAACATAACATTGCTATGATGTTACCGATAAGAAAAATGTGATATGGATGACGTCATAGATAAGCGATAGATCGAGATCAATGTGGTATCGGGCCGGTCATGGATTCTTCGGTGACAGAAATTATTGTTATTAATATCAGTATTAGTATTTTTATGACGGTTGGTTTTGAAAAATATCTAACAATTACACCATGTACTATTTCAAGCCACTAGTGAAATTATGTATTCCTCGGCGACAGAAATTGGTATAGTTTTGTGATTACTTTGTATATCAACCATTACCCAAGGTCATGTTGAGGGTCAACGAAAACGTGGTAGGCCTAAAGTTTGATGGGCTGAAGGAATAAAAGATTTACTGGCATGAACATCTGCACAGCTCATCGCTATGCCCAGGATAGAAGTGGTTTGAACGTCATCATCAATAGGGTCACAAAGGGTCAGTCATGTCTCGTAGGATGACGGTGATATCAACCATAGCTACTTGTATCTAAAACTGACAGCTGTTTAAATACGACACCAGGGGAGTGTTTCACAAAGACTAAGATAGACTTTAAGTTGAACTTAACTATGGCAGGCCTTTCATGCCACTAGTTCCTCTAACCATTCCTGGCATTGGTTTCTCAAGGGACGTACCAATCTCGGTCACAAATCTACAGAATTTATCTTTTTAGATAGTTCATTATTGAAGGAAAAATTGTTATCTAAAGATCATAATTGAGAGACCAATGATGAGAGCAACCAGTGGCATGAACGGCCATTCTTAGTCTTTTTGAAATGTCCCCCAGTTATAGGTTGTCAATATCAGTGAGGGGTACATGGAGGTCCTGCTGCAGCATGCTCCTTCAGAACATGCTCAACGGTCTGAATTTGACCACACGGGTGGACACAGGTCAGAGTCTTTGAGACCCCAGGGTCCGTCTTATAAAGAGTTGATATCAATCGCAAATGTACATAAGATATAGGAGACTGCAAACTTGTGATTGATTGGAGGACTTACGATTGATTTGGATCAATCCTAACTCTTTGTAAGACAGGGTCCAGAGCTTCATGCTATAGCTGACAATGGTTGACCGTTAGCTGCAGGTTTTGCAAGCTCTTAAGAGGTACCCAGGGTGGACATACATGCATCTAAGCTGTGCATTTTCACATTGAGCCATGTGTTATAACTTTTTGAGGAATGGTAGGATAGAACGATGCAAGGTCACATGGTTTCATTTGACCAATTAGATTGCTTGCATTCTAGAACCCGTTCTATAGAACTGGGGGGAGTTTCACAAAGCCTTTTTTCAATGACAAATGACAAAAATCAGTGACAAATCTGCAGATAACCAATCAGAAGCAAGGGTTTCACTAGCTTATAACGAAAACTGTCATCGTCACTGATGACAAGTTTTGTTAAACATCCCCCTGATTGGTGGAAGGTACTGTCATGTCATACCTTGAGTTCTTGAGCCATCTTTTGTCTGTTGCCATACTTCAGAAACCTGACATTTAAAAAAAATAGTTAAAGAGGAGGTTATGATGGTGAAACACTATACAGATCATGATTCTGAACAACATTTGTGATAAAGGATGTATAAGATAAGGTAGACATATTCATGACATTAATAGTAATTTTGATGAAAAAAAAAAATTTAATTAAAAAAACTTGTATATTTTCAGTCTCTTTATAAAGATGATAGGTAAGATGCATTTGGAATTTTGGATAATTTAAAATAAAATCATACAAATCTTATTGCAACACATGAAACCAAATTAATAATGACAACAGCTGATTCGGCCATAAGAAGTAGGCATATCTGAGATTAGTCTTTATAAAGCAAAGGTGCTATTACATTTAAGAAAGCAGGATAATATACAAATGATGCATGTTAATGACTTTATTATAAGATCTATCCGCACTCGAGTTGAGGCTATAGGCATCTATAGGTACATATACAGCCTAACGAGAGCAGATAGATCCTGCAATTAACGAAAGAAAACATGTATCATTTGTTTTATACGACAAAACTCCTAGATCCTTAGTATTTGACTGAAAAAGAATTCATCTCAAGATTGTTTCATGTAACCATCTCTGATAACTTACTGTACCGCACACACACAGATAACCTCTATGCGTAGCGCACACACACTAACCTCTATGCACACTGCTGCGCATTGCTAACTTAAAAATCGTTGGTAAGTAGTGGAAACTATTGCATGCTATTTTAAGTAGAGAACGTGGGATAGTCTCAGTAAATTAATCCTGTGTGATACCGTTTGACCAATGATTTGATTAGGATCTAGGAGTGGGTGGCATAATTCAGGATACGCATACATGCCAACATTTGAAAATCAGAAATCTGTACAAATTATGCTATTTTAAAAAACAAGAGGAGCAATCCTAACTCTCCTATTCAATACTACAGACAAATTTGTACAGGAAGAGGAACACCTGCATTAAAATGATCATTATCTTCTCCCAAAAAGAGGAATGTTCCTCTTTAATCTGAACAGTTGGCATGTATGGATACGGATCAATTCTCTGTTGACCTGTCAGAGATTTCTTCAGCTTACATTTTGTTCTGTGTATGCCTCTGGTGGATGAAGTTGGCTCCTGGATGAGCATCGCAACCGTTCATGACAAGCTTCCTCATCAGAGCCATGTTGGACTTGGTCACCTTCTCAGGGTAGGTCAACAGTTTGGCAACCAGCTCGGGTACGGCCACCTGAGAATCACCAAAACATACAGTTATGTGAAGTGATACCTACTACAGTATTGAAGATAAAGTTGAGATCTGGTCATGCGATTGCATGGTGAAAGAAATGGTGTGAAATCGATCAGGAAAGGTTGATCATCTAGCATATAAGTATTGGTGTGTACTACAAGGTTCTGGACTCATCAAAATGATAAGAAATTGGGCCCAGTCTTGGTAAAGTTACAAGCAATGTACACAGAAATATGTATATGGGACTACACAAACATGTGGCATAAAAATCTGTGTCAATCTTTTTGTAGTTACATGCCATATTTAGAATATTAAGACATTTAAAGTGCCATTCTTTTCAGGGAACATTTTTTTATCTAACGTTCTTCCACACTTCCAACGCTCTCAATTTATTTGTCACCTCTTCCCAGAACTCACCCTTCTTTTTAAACTTGGTGTACTTTCCCTTTTCTTTGATGTTCACATTATATACAAAACAATGATATAACAAGGAAACGTGAGAAACGTTACTTCCAAATGAGGTGTTTACAAGAGAGAGAGAGAGAGAGAGAGAGAGAAAGAGAAAGAGGGAGATAGAGAGAAAGAGAGAAAGAGAGAAAGATAAAGAGAGGGAGAGAAAAAGAATGAGAGAGAGAGAGAGAGATAATGAGGAAGAGAGAGAGAGAGAGATAATGAGGAAGAAAGAGAGAGAATGAGAAAGTGAGAGATAGAGAGAGATAGAGGGCACAAAGTAAGAGAGAGGAAGAGAAAGAGAGAATGAGAATGAGAATAAGAGAGAGAGAGAGAGAGAGAGAGAAAGAGAGAATTAGAAAGAGAGAGAAGAAAGAGAATTGTCACCCAACCTCATCGATTCTCAGGTTAGGATCGGGAGAGATGACGGTCCTGCTGGAATAGTCCACTCGCTTGCCAGACAGGTTACCACGGAAACGACCTTGTTTACCCTTCAGTCGCTGGCAGAATCCTCGAGTAGGCTTCTTGGGCTGAGAGAAGATTGAACATACAATAGGCCTCCTTTAGATATGACTTGGCAAAACTCTTGTGTGTTTTTTTTTAAATGATGACGTATGCTTCACATTTCTTATAACACAGAGATCAGTGAATGCAGGAATTACATATTCATTAAAAACATAATCGAAAATAGTGAGAATTTCTAATTTTAGTACTTTTATTCACAATCCTTCAATTCCTATCTTTTACAGCGAAAATCCCCGACTGCGTGTAGAGTGAATGAGTGCGCAGACAGGGAAACCTTCGCGTTTGCAATGTCAAAATGACACCACTGACTTTTCTTGTGAAAATAATATTGTTCTTGCTCAGATTTTCGACCAAATTTTAGGCACACTTACTTTCTAGAATTTAAGGAATAAGATGAGATGAAGCATAAGGAGAATACAAAAGTTGATTCTAGTCAATTTCAAGCGAAATGTTAGGTGTGCAGACATAAGGCTGCCCTTCAAATATACAGTCAAACCTGCTGTAGTGACCACCTTTAAAAAAATACCACCTGTCTATAAAGACCACATTTTTTGTTTCCCTTGAAAAATGGTTTCTCATTTAAACATGTACTACAGGAACATGTGCATAAAGACCACCTCCCTATAAAGACCCCTTTTCTTGTCTCCCTTGGGTGGTCTTTATAGGCAGGTTTCACTATACCTGCATATTGAGTGGTAATCCTGACGTCTCACTGTTGATGTACAAAGCACAGGCCAGCTGCAAGAAATCCCAGTCTTCCTGTAACATTCAAATCAAAACAAAGAAGATAAGAGTTAAAATAAAAGATTTTTCACACAAAATTTGTTGGAACCTAATGCATACCTTCCAAAATTTTACAGCCAAAATAGATATGACAAATGAAGAACTCATGATCTGTGACTTTTTTAATCCCATCATTTGATACTCAAAAATAATCACAATGATGCATTTTGACCTGTTTTTGATACATCCAAAAACGATTAAATGTAAATCGTGTAAATTAAATCTCTCTTTAGATCACCAAACAATGTTACGTAATGGCAGGGTTCCTTATTTTTTTTATTTATTTATTTATTTTTTTTTTTTTTGGGGGGGGGGGGGGGGGGGGGTCCGGATTTAAGTTTTTACACTCTGTATACATGAGCCCTATGTAAAAATTTCAAAATGTAGGGGGGTCTGGACATGGATTTTGGTCATTCAATGGCCTGTTAGTGTAGAGACCAGGTGAGGGAGACAAGAAGTATAAGATTTCACTCACCAAATGAGCAGAGTATTGAACCTAGGACCTACCATGATCATAGACATCTTTGCTCCTGCTCTCCTTCTCTTCTGGATGACATCATTGATGAGAATGATCTCCGTTAGCTTCACTGTCAAATCATCCTCGTTCCTTTAATATTTAAAATAAAAAATTTAATTAATTATAAAGACAGGAAATGAAGGGCTGTCATTAATTTTGTCATTTTATATGCAAAACACTACATATTCTCTGCGAAATACAAAAGGAAACGGCTATCTTTGAATTCTTTTAAGAAGATGCTTAAACGTTGTTATGAAGTTGAGCGGATTCTTTCTATCAAACGCAATAAATTTGTTGTATTACTTCATAAATGGAGACATGTGCAACTGATGTAACAATGTTTGTTTAACTGATATGTCACAACATGTACTTTGTTCAAATCTATTGTGTTGTTCTTGCTCAAAAATGATTGAATAAAAATGTTCTTTGGTAAAAAAAAATTAAAAAAGAAAAGAAATGAAGAGCTGTCATGGTCTAGTGGATATGTCGCTGGACTGTGGATCACAAGGTTCGCATTTCCAGTCCCACTGCAGCACTAATCTCCTTTGTCAAGACATTAATCTACATCTGCCACTCTCCACCCAGGTTTTTAAATAGGTACCCGGTAGGATGCAAATGTTAATGTAGTTGGATTGGCATGTGTACACTTGTGCAACTATTTACACAATCTGTTTGAAATAAGTTATTACAAGTCAACGCATAGCATAGCATCCCCTCCCGTGTACACATGGCCTATATTTAGCTATTTTTGCATATTAAATGAGCTATGACCAACTCCTAAATTGAACTTAGACTGTGTTTTGATACCATGTACCTTCATATCAAATTTCATTAAAATCTGTCGAACATTACTAAGTTATCTAACGGAAACCAACAATAAACCATACAATAAATGCATCAATGATTAAATGTTATCAAATAATATTCTTCTTCTAGTAGATTGTTTATGTTTGTCTAAAGCTATTTTGTGATCAATAATTTTTAATCCATTACACAGAGTATTCCAAATACATGCACCAGAATATGATACAGACTGTTTTGATATGTTTGCTCTTAAATTTTGAAACATTACAAATGTTGTGATTTTCATTGGTTCTTTCTTCATATTGCCGTTTTACAAGTGTGAAAATCGTACAGTGAAGCGTTTCACAAGTGCAAAAAACCTTCAGAGAAACATGTATTTACGTTCCAGCTTTGAGATCCGATACAACCGATGGCCTGATACAGAGAGGTGGTACGAGGAGACGTGTCAAGATGAGGTCCTGAGGACGACTGTTTTCAGAGTCCATACAGAGCAGAGGAATGTCCTATATCACAGAAAGAAGAACAACATTTACAAAGGTGAACTTCTAAAACAGCCATCTGTATACATCTGGAATTGTATTTCTAAAATTACGGGATGTGGGAATTTAAGATTACTCACGTTTCAACGGAATAAAAAATTGTGGGAGAATCATGTTATTTAGTCCTGCCATTGTTGCTACTGCTCATATTATTTTCTATGATACTAATGCTGTTGCTACAGCTGCTTCCTACTACTACCTACTACTACTACTACTACTACTACTACTACTACAACTACTACCACCACTTCCACCACTACTACCACTTCAAATACTACCACTACTACCACCGCTACCACTACCACCACCAACACCACCAATACCACTACTACCACCACTACTACCAATACCACTACCACTATCACTACCATCATTACCACTACCACTACTATTATAGCAGTAGCGACAGTTAGTATTCGACACAAGATTTCTCCTAATTTCTACCATCTAGATATTTATTTTTCGGCATAACTTACCTCATTAGGAATTCTCTTCATCAGTTCTAATACCATCAATGGATTCAAATTTTCCTGGAAGGAAAGTCATAAAATAAGAATTCATTTATACCGCTCTCCTATTCCTTAAAATGGATATATGCAGATGGAAATGTCATTAGTATTTCATGAATTGAACCATTTTTCTTTACAAACTATTTGTTTTCACCAACAGATTGAATATCTACATTCATCTTTTCATGAATTTCAAGATAGACGGCGCTATAGAAATGCCTATTATTATTATTATTCCATCTTGAGAGTATTATTATGTGAACAGCATTCACTGGCATCCTTCAACAAGCCCACAGCCCCTCCCTCTCCCAATTCAGGGCCCTTGCTTCCCCTTGTTTGATAATTGTTCGGTGATACCAATTTAAAAAATGTGAAAACCTTATTTTTTTCAAAACTTCTTCCCTGTTTGAGATTGTCCTGTAGAGGACCAACAGTAATCCCATGAGAAGAAGACTTCGGAAAGGAAAATTTGCCCAAACTCCCCCCCCCCCCTTTAACGAGCCCACCGCCCATCAATGATAGAGGGGGTAACAACCTTGTAACACCCAGTGCCATTGATTAGGAGAGTTTGGCCAACTTGGTTTCACTCTGTCACAACGTGGCGTATATTCTTTTGTTTTGTGCTTGCCTATCAAAACAGTAGTCGCCATATTGTGACCAACTCAAACTGGGTTGGCCGAACTCTGTGTATAGATGGCTCTGGTAACACCCCAACCCCCAATTAAGAATCGACACTTGCTTGTGAGACTAACCTGTGCTTTTGGAAGTAACGATTCAATGTCCTTGTTATGCTCTATGGCTGTATCGAGGGAGCTCTGGAACTGCTTGAGGACCTTCTCAGGGTTCTTACGATTCACCTTCCATCTCTCATGGATGATCTTCAGAGGACCACACTTCTTGACAGGTCCTAAGAGTTAAAAGTAAAAAGAGAAAGGAAAGGAAAGGAAAACATAGAGGAAGAAATAAAGGAGAGTCAAAAAGGGAGAATGGCAGAGAGAGAGAGAGAGACAGAGAGAGAGAGAGAGAGAGAGAGAGAAGTGACAGAGAGAGAAAGAGACAGAGAGACAGACAGAGAGAGAGAGAGAGAGAGAGAGAGAAAGGAACATAACAAAAGAAACACCAAATATATATATAATAAAAGAAACAGCAACAAGTACCCCAAATAGTCTCAGGTTTTTTATTTAATTTAAACTCATTCTACTTTCATCTTCTTCCTTTTCTTTCACTTTTCCTTTATTCCTCTAAATGCCATAACGGACATATTCTTTTGATGAAGGAATATGTTAATAGTATTTCCACTAAGGTTGACACATGGTACTATTGAAAACATTCCGTTGTAAATGCTCACTTACCATGGAAATCTACAGAGAATGTCTGACCTTTAACTTTTCAGATGTAAATTCAGGAGTTTTGTGAGTTTTGCTTAAAGCTAATAAAGCAAAGCATTTTTTTTCTCCTACCTCAACAGAATCTACCTATACCTTTCATGACTAAGCTAATACCAAAAATAATCAGAAAAACTCTATTCAACGGAATGATGGTATAGATTACAAGAACATAGACTGTAATAATCAAAGATAAACATTGCACGATCCTCCCCCTCTCACATGGTGCAACCGTAAGCCTACTATATAAACATTGTACCATTATAAGAATTGCACTGGAAGCAGATCTGATTCTTGCGAGACTTTTCATGAATCTTCTTGCGTAATCCTCTCTTCTGTAGGTAGCTGAGGTTGGGGCGTCGTAGAGCATCCACAAAATTCTGATGATTTACATCATCCAAGAGGATATGGCCACAAGTCTGCAGGTTGAAATATACATAAAGGTACATATAACAGCAGGTCAATACTGGGGGTGTTTCATAAAGCTGTTCATAAAGTTACACATGACTTTACGAACGACTTAAATATGAAAAGCCAAATGGGATGCTCAATCATTTTTAACTGCATCAACTAAAGTTGAACTGTGCAGAGGTAGATTAACATTCTTATTATATCAAACAAAATTAATGCAAAGTATATTTTTTGCCATAATTTGATTGAATTTGATTGTCATTGGAAACAGTCACATTTTATTAAAACATCAGGAAAAACTTTAGGCGTCCTATCTGGCACTTCATATTCAAGTCGTTCGTAAAGTCATGCGTAACTTTACGAACAGCTTTATGAAACACCCCCCTGGTCATATTAGTAAGTAGTAGTGACACTTCAATTAATTTTAAGCCCAGGGATGTAATAGCCATGGGGAGTTTGGGGAGTTTTCCCCCAGGCTTGCTCCATATTTTGAGGGCCAGTTAATATGGGTCGAGGGAGCCGATCACGATGAAATACCCAAAAGGAATTTCAGTCCTAGTCCACTCCTGTTTATGTCCTGAAGCTGACATGAGTAATATCTTCATAATCTTATCTTGGTCCTTCTTGTACAGATGTATATGATGTCGGAGAAATCTTTCAATTGAATATTCATTGGTGCTTCTGGGAAGGTCCAACAGACAGAATTCAGAAACTTTTAAAAATATGTCAGCCACTCTTCCTCAATTCATCTCCTCACTCTTAAAGCATCAGACAACATCATATTCACTTCCATCTGCATCAGCTTCTTGCCTTATCATTCCCGAATCCCCCCCCCCCCCAAAAAAAAAAAGATGGCTTCAAATCCTTTCAATATGTTGCCTCATGCCTGTGGGATAAACTCCCTGCATTTCTAGAAAATAGTAATTCATTTGACTTCTTCAAAAAACAAAAATCATACCTCTACAATTCTAATTAATTTGTTGATTGACTAAGGGACAACACCTTGTATCCCCTGGAAAAGCGCTATATAAATCAAATTAATAATTATTTTTAATATTATTTTGTTTAAATGTCAACACCAGAGGACATTTATGGGAATGATCTCACCTTGCATATAGCCTGAAGTATGTTCATGACCAGCTTAAAGAAACCGATGTGAAACACAGGCAACTCCAGATCGACGAATCCGTAGTGACCTACACAATCAGAGAGATTCTTCTTACATGTCTGACATGGGTTCTCCTTCTCACTCGTTCCCTGTGGGAGAAAAGCAAGAAAATTCATTCAAAATCATCATCAATTATCAATGTCAGTATCTTCCCTCTTATGAGGGGTTACTTACTTTCGCCATGATGACACTTCCTCCCTTCTCTTCTTCTTGTCCCCCTCATTTAGACAAACTTTACTGCTTTCTTTCTTCACCATATCTTTCCCTTAAATCTTTGTTCTTCCTTTCCCTTTTATGCCATCCACTTCAGGATCCCATGCTCTTTCCACAGGTTCATCATCTCTCCTCCTCAACACATGACCCATCCATCTCAATCCACTTCTCTTTACCACTTTCACCAGTTTCTTCCAGATCCAACCTTTCCATGAGCTCACTTGGATAGAAATAGCAATAACAGGTAAGAGGGAGAAAACGGTGATTCTCTTTTGCATGTTCAATGGTTCATCCACACAGGTCTTCTTGCATGAAGGCCTGAATTACCCAAACATCACAGTGTGTTCTTTTAATAATAATATACCATACTTATAAAATGTACATCATACATATGACCCTATGCGCTGTAATGGAGAGAAGGAAAAATGATAAATGCTAAGCATTCTTCAGGAAGTTGTCAATTAATATTGGCAGTTACTTTTAAAAAGAAACATTTTAAGATGTATGTATGATGCTTATTCATTCAAGAACAAGAAGTGTTTATCTTTTTCATTGTCATGCTCTAAAAATAAAACATTATTTTCACACTTAAAAATGTCCAGTAATTCCCAACTTACCATATGATGGTCCAGGACGCCATATGGGATTGGGTTGCGGGTATCAGGTTGATACAACTTGTTGCTTACAACATGAATAGTTGCTTGTTGCCGCATCTGCTCGGGTGACATCAGGCCAAAGCAGACATGGCTTCTACAAATGTTCAATGGAGAAAATAATTGTGAAACACTCTCAAGTCAAAGCATCTTCATATAGTCAATGAGTCAAACATGTTTTAGTGGCCACCCTTTTATAAAGACTGCCTGTCTAAAGTGGCCACATATTCTGTTTCCCTCTAGACAGAAATGTTTGTTGTAGAACCCATCTACAGTGGTCAATTTCTATGTTTCCCATGTGTGGCCTCAATAGTTTAATTTAGCCTATAATTGATTACCATTACCTGTCATGTCCGTACTTCTCCTATTGTACTTTTGTTTATTTATCATGTATTTCATCTTTTGCACAAGTTGCACCTTGAGCATTTGATTGTCAAGTGGACTTGGCACCTTACAACTAAATACAATTTAGTCACCATAATTTCTATTTTCATTTGCTGTCCAATTGAGTCTTGAACATGACGGTTGAGTTAGTTTTTGTGAAATCAATTCAGCAAATCATGATCAGATCGACGAGTTCAGACATCACCATGTCTTCTTTTTCTCCTCCTTCTTAATTATCATCCAACTTCATCTTCTCCTTCATTGAATCATTCACTTCTCTTTATTTCCATCATCTTAATCTTAATCCTTATCATCTTCTTCTCCCTCTTCTCGATCTCCCTCATCCTTCTTTTTATTCCTCTCCCTCTCATCCTTTTCCTCCTATTTCAGTCATCATTTTCTTTCTTCTCCCTCTTTTTTATCACCCCGCTCTCTTCTTAATTGAGTTTGACCAGTTTTTAAAGTAAATGCCCGTATTTCCTCTGCATTTCATCATCCTGTTTTTATCTTCGGTCCCATACATTTCAAATCATGTTTGATAAATATCTACAGAAACTTGTTTGATTCTTTTTCGTTAACTTACATCTTTCGAGCCACATCTGTTTCCCGAAATTGCTCTTTCACCATCTTCAATTTCGAATTATAGCTCTCTTGATCAATGAAAAATGGAGAAAGGATAATTAGGCCATCACAAAACCATCTGCAATTCAATTTCTCTACGGCATCGTCAGCGTGCCAAAGAGGATTAACTAGCAAAGATTAACTACATAGCATACGCACACGTACACACTAGGGAATAAATCGTGGCTATAGTCTTTATCAATACGTTTCTTTAGTGCTTTTTCTTTCTTTTCGTTGTTTTGTTTGGTAAAAAGCATAATCGTGATACATTTCATTCTAATAATTAAATTTTTTGCCAGTACTAGTACCAGTTCTAAGGAGGAGAATAAATAGAGGTGCAGACAAAACTTGAAAATTATCAAATACGATGAAAAGTTGACATCAAACCCAAGGCTTCCGCAACGTGTGTACTACGAAAGTAAGTCAGAGTCAAATGTCTTGACATGAGAGGTCTTTGGCCATCTATAAAAAATAAAACAAAATTAAGCCCCTCTTCATGTGTTGGGAGCCCCAACATTTTGATGGCAACATTTCACCTGTTTGCAGAAGTGTGTCATAAATGGCATCCTCTTTCACATAATGATACAATTTAAATGAAGTTTTTCCATCAAATTTTTGGCGAATTTGGGGCTCCCAGCTAGCACTTTAGAAGGGCTTTTCAGTTAATTGGACCCTTCTCTTGGTCGAGGGGGGGGGGGGGAGCCTACATATTCCCTGGGATTTATGAGGAGTATTTTCATTGCATTTCACATAATATTAAGGAAATACAAGGGGGACTATAAATACTTTTGAAAACCTTGATTTCATGTGTTAATCTTTGGAAGTTGAGAAGGGGGCATATTCGACTTTTGGCGCATTCATCAATTCAATTCAATTTATTTATGTTCCCAACAAAACATTGATCTTTTCCTCATCCCCAAATTTTATGCAATAATATCAAGGAAATGCTGGGGGAGATTTAATCAACCTTAGAATTGCTTTCCTGTGTTAAACTTAACTATGACAGGCGACTTTTTCAAAAGCATTCATTTATGGTGGCATTAATTAAAAAATAAAAGTTAAAAAAAAAAAAAGTTTTTCAAACTCTTTATTCTTGCTCTTGTGCAAATATCAGACAAGGTATGAAATTTCCAAGAAAAGGAGCTTCCCGAGAGTATTACAAATTTAAACCAGAGTAAATTTTCTTGACACTATGGTCTTAGCTTTATATACGCCAATGGGAAATCTGACAAACTACTGGCTTGAGAGGAAAGCAGAAAATTAGAGAAGTAGCCTGGTGAAAGTTTGAATGGAATCAAACAAAAAATTAGAAAGTTGTGAATCACTACAAGTATGAGCTCTTAAAATTGGCTGATTTTCACTAGTACATAATGTCTTTATGATGTAGTGGCATACAACTTTCCCATTTGTTCCCATGCAGACACAAAATGATTAAAAGTTTTAATCTAAAAAGGGGGAGTTTGTTGTCTTTAAACAATGCCTTTAAATCTTCCACTTTTCTTTTCCCTTGTTCTTCTCTCCATCATTATCCTTTCACTTCCTTTTCCTTCCATATCATTTTCCATTATCCCTATTTATTTTTCTATATCTTTTTTTTCTTTCTCTTTTCCTCTTTCAAACTTTGTTCACTCCACCGTATTTCTCTTGCCACACTCATCAAAACAACATAGGCTAAGGTGGACCAATTAGAATATGAATAAGAATTATAATAATGATAAATTGGACGGCAATGAATAACGACACCATGACAAGTATGTATGCTTTCCTCCATTCGGAAGTGAGCCTTTATTTGTCCTTAAACACCAAAGAGATCTTTTTCAGAGTAGAAGTCATAATAGTAACAATCATAATAATATTCATAATAATACACATTACTCTTCTTCGTTTTTTTTTCTTCATTCTTCTCAGCAGAGAAAAAGACCAAAATGCAAATGCACGCCTTTTTTCTGAGAACAGATGCACAAATCCCCCTTGTTTTTTTTTTTGTTTCCTTTGTTCATTCTACAGCATGATACAAAATCTTGAATGATTATAGAAGTCTATTACCTGTACAACAGATGGCATTGTAGCAATCTTCCTCGGGCACACAAGCTCTATTGACCTTTGACCCTGTCTGCTGCCCTCTCACAATCATTCTCCACAATTCAGTCTACAAGAGATCCCATTGCCTACAGCCCGTTTCCGTTGAAGTGAATTAGAAACAACTAAAGCCTACTATTTCCATCTTCATTTATTATTAACTACAAGTCAGAGTACCGCTTTACTGTATATATACTTGATCATGTGTATTTCAATTGTCTAAGCCTACAAAATTTGACAGCAGTATATATTATTGATTTCGTAATATCTAACAAGTAAATCAAATGGTTCTAATTCAAGCTCATTTGTAACAGTCTTATAATTTCTGAAGCAGGAGAGAATAAATACATTACTTTACATTTATTACATTACTTTACTTTACTGAATGTTCATTTTAGAGAAGCTACGTTATAAAACTGGGCCAAGAAATTTCTCATTTCACTTTCAAAAATGTTACTTATTTTTTGACACAATAGTTGTCATATTTCGTTTTGGAGGATATCATTCAATTTTCACATGAAAAGATGCAATGTATTTAAGTTAGACTTAGTATGCAGTTTGATAGGTTGACAAATACCGGTGGAGAAAGATTGGAAATGAAATGTACCAAAATAACATGTGGGAACAAGCGTATCATTTTGTGATGAGATCAAAATCAATTAAAATCAAATCAATACAGGGTGAGGAGATAGGAGCAAGGATATAATTTCCGAACACTTTGGCAATTTATTTATGACTAATACAAGCAAACCAACACCCATACAACAAACCAAACAACCCTCAAAGTTGCATAGAATCAGCGTGCAGCATGGTACATCCCTCTGATGAAGAAAATAAAAACTCGCTGTGAACTAATTTAAAATTAGGGTAGTAAATGATCCACTTTATGCTGGTGAATCAACACGTTATGTTACATCTCCTGCTTCAGAAACTACGAGAAACCAACGTACATCATCCCCCCTTCCTCAATGGCAGACAAATCATTTCATTACTCTTCCTATCAACTAACTTCACTCTAAATATAAAAAGGAAACGTGACCATAAACATATTCTATGATATCTAACAGGTACTTTCAAAGTAAAGCACACGATTCTTGACCCAAAACTTTCATATAATTCATCATAAATTAGGAGGAACAACAGAGTAAGATGGAAAGAAACCAATTGAAAAAGAAAATTTTAAAAAAAATTGACAATCCACTGACATTTAAATCTATTTTCATGATAGGATTAAACAGTCCATTCTATTCTCTGCGTGCTATGGAATAAGTGTTGAAATACATAGCTCTATCTCACAGAGATCGTGTCCCGATCTCCATCAATACATCAACCTTTTTAATCTCTACTCACATAAAGACTGACAGACATACAAACAGAGGCGTACAAACTTGTTACATTCTAAATTTTCAACACACAAATGCCCCCTCCTGTCCATCTGCGTTTAATAACCAAAGACCAATCGGACTTTGTCGTTCCATTTAACATGAAAATAAAAAGTTTGCGTATATCTACACACAGTCACAGTATTATTTACCTCACTTTTTTTTTACCTTGTTTTCAAAAAAGAAATTATATCACACAAGATTTATTTATACTTCAGGCAAATAAAAAAAAAAAAAACATTTGTACAAGAAAAAGATTATATGACAAGAAATGTCCTTACAATATCTGTAGTCTACTTTTACATTGTTGTCATACATTGTGTTTTTTTTTCCTTTTTTTTTCTTTTTAATTTTTGTCATGCTATCAATGTTATATCTGTACAAATTTCAAAATTAAAACCATGGGAAATTATTTATAGAACACAATTCTTTCCCATTTCCAACCAGAGTAATATTCATAATGAAAAAGAAAAAGAATTAATTCTAGCAAAGAATGCATCTTACAACATCAAGATATAGTTACATATATAACTTTGAATAATTTATCCAGTTATCCTCCTCGATATTCTTCGTTCTACTGTGATACACATACATGGTCATAATTTAGACGTTAATTCATGGTGATTTTGCATATTCAAAGAATACCTGAAATTCTCATCTACGTAGAAAAAACTACCTGTATCAAGCCTAATCAACAAAGTTTGGCATGGTACTAAAACATCAGCCAACGTGGAATTACTAGTCTATCTCCCAGACCTCTAACTTCAGAGGAGTTCAGCTGTGTATATCGATATTTACGTTTCATACGGAACAGGTAATTGCGAAGGAGTTCGCCTTTGGAGAGATAACTTTGGGGGTTTCCCCAAACCCATGTTATTTAAATTGTGTGTTTAAAACTTTAAACAATCCTTATATTGTGATCTCATAAACTCATCTCAGTCCCACATATAGACACCTAGGTCCTGTTTCTGTAACCTCCTATATTTCTATATTGCAATTAGGAGCGTACATACATAAACCTTATGATGCATGTGGCAGTTGACCCTCCAATACGTTACATAATAACAAATAGGGAGAACTCAAAATCCTCTCATTATGACTATAAATCTCTTCCACTGTAAGTGAGAGACCAAAATGATCTCTTCTAAACCAGATGAAATCTATTTCACAGGAGTTGAGGTCTGTTGTCATGCCAACTGAAATCAAACGGTATAAATTGAGACTTTTGATCAACGCATTTCTTATCCTATCCAAATTTGTACAAAATTTCTGTAGAAATAAATCATGAAGCTGTCTCATTAAGAGCAGAAGTGAATTGACCACTCAAGAAGGCAATCTTGTCAAATGTGCAAATTTTCTCTTACAAAAATATCACGTTTATTGATAGAAATAAACCACTGACGAACTAGCTTTAAGCCTGGGATGTACAGTAAGACCGTGCATGTTTCAACACAAAACTAAATCTAAACAGGTTGGAACAATATGTAGATCTAAGGGGGTTCTGTTCGAGGGGAAAGGACTCGACTTGGCACACATGAAGTACAAACAAAATTGCAATGAAAACAACAGGTCTGGGGTGGATATAGAAGACTTAACTCAAGATTTTGATCCTGTGAATGTAGCACATGCTTTGCTAATTAAGTAAATGATTACCGAAGAGAGATTGGTCAAAGTAGACCAATTCGTCGCAGTGCAGTGTCGACAAGCTGTAACAGTGCTACATGTAAAGGTAGGGCTGGAAAAAAAGCTCTGCATTTATTTCTCTCAAACACATTATCTACTCTTTTCAATCTTGTTTTGACCTGCAAATCATACATCAGAAATCAATATTCTAGAAATCTTCTTTATATTAATAATGTTCTCTCTTTTGTAATAATCTTCTCTCTTTTTGCTCTAACTTTGAACCTGTAAATCATATCGATTTTGACATATACACACATTTTAGACAGGTTCGCATCGTAACACGTAAAGTGGTACCTGGGTTGGGTTAAAGTAAAGGAAATAATATAAGCATTGGTACACAGTGTGTGCTTGCTATGCAAATGAGCAAAGGTCATGACCTGCATGACCCCTGACCTTCATCTTCATATGTCACATACATCTCAAATGAAGCATTGATTTTGGGGTAATAATAAAAAGTATCAGTAAGTTTGGAGGAGTGAGAACGAACGAACAAACAAACAAACAAATGAATGAATGAAAACAAGTATCTATAACTACACCATTCAGCTGACTCTAAACATGCAAAAAAAGTGCTTCTACAATGTACAACTATATACACCAACACATCCCAATTAGGTCAGAGAGGTCAGAAAGGCGCTACTTCATCCAATACCAGCAGCAGAAGGTCATTAATGTCCATGACCCATGTCTCCTCAAACAATTAAAGACCTTCCGCACTGGACCCTAGTCCATGAACATCCTTCTGCACCAGACACAACATAACAAATGAATCTCATTTTATCATAGATTCTGAAGGATATAGGTTCAAATATATATATATTCATATATAAATGTATATATTCCACATTTATTCTAAGATTATACGTTTCGTTTAATAACACAGAGTAGCAAATTTCTGAATGAGATAAAATATACAGTTACTGTATTTTGAAGTCCTCTAAAATGTGGAGTATAGTTTTGGGCGAATAATTAGTGATTGTCATCTTTTGTTGAAAGATACACCATCTTGCTGCGAACCATTGGCTGTAGTTTAGACTCAAATCTACGAGAAGAGTTTCATACATCGATTTAAATTTAATTTAAATGGTCAGCCTTCTTGATAACATGCTCCCCCTCATGGTACCATTGCATGTATCAATATCACCCATCGTTTCTTAAATGCACTCTTATGCAAGGAGTATTGATAAGAACCACTGCTTTTTAGATCAAATAATTAATCTGCTGACCTGGTTATGAATACACAAACTCATTCTTACAATTAACAATGGTTTTAGAAAGATGCAGCCCAAATCTCTTGATGAAATAAAAAAAAATAAAGAGACGATAGGAATTAATCAATCAATGTACAATCTCTAAGGAATCTAATGTTATCCTCATATCTTAATCTGACCAGGACAAAAAAAATTACCCATTTCTTCTTGTTGTGTACCAAGGCAACTTATCATGTGCCATGTGCGTTTCATTCTGTGCAGCAAATTGGCCGAGCTGCCAACTTTCCCTAGGACATGTAGTATTCCAATCACCAAAAGTTGTTATATTCTGTAGATGATCTGTAATTTCTCAAATAAATATAGCAGAAGTGCCAGGACCTACAAAATCATAGTCGAGAATGGAACCTTCGTCAGCAGTCTTCTCAAATTTCAGAATGAAACCTTGAAAATTAGCAGATTAGCAAATTGGCAGCTCTGCATGAGGTTGCAAGATTGTTTTCCAATGGAAACACTCACTGCTTTTGTCAACCAAGTGCCCAAAGCTACATCCAACGAGACCATAGCTAACATTATCAAAATCAAAGCTATCTTTGATCAAAATTCCAGCTCTCCTACGACACCTTCTGCAATGAAAAGTAAATGATTCATATCTGAAGCTGTACAAGGATCAGAGAGATCTTTTCAAAGACACTTTATAGCCCCAACCCTGATTTCTTTCTCAAGTTGCCCTTGTATATGCAGCAGATCATCTAGGAATATAATTTCTTCTCAATTTAAGAGGGAATTTAAGATAAGCGGAGGGAAATCTTAACAGATTGCTAGATTGCTATATCTGAATTTCGTAAATCAATTTGGGCTGTTATTGTTGCTGTGTCTCAAAAATGTTACAAATTTATATTTATGCAATTAGTATTATATTGTAACTTCACTGAAATCTCATTAAATAGGTGCTCTCTCCTGATTGACATTACTAGTCACAAACTTTAACAATGTAAACAGTCTCCCCCTCTGCTCTTACACAAAAAAGAGGCCTCCACGGGGGAGCCGTTCGGTACGTTCAAACAAGATAACTTGAAATCTTCTATTCTATGTATTGGTGCAAAATATGACCTTGTGCGATACAAGTGCATCAAACCACAGCAACAAAAGACAAATTTCCTCTTTGATCTTTCATTCCAAACCGACTCAGGTGGATTTGTAAAGAACTTTATCAGAAATTCAACAGATTCACAATGTACCAAGGGGTTCCCCTTATAGCTTGTGAAGTTTTAAGAATTAAGTTATTATATAGTGTTACAACGACAGTAGTGTTAACATCCCATTTACTTCATTAACAATTTGAACAAACACACAAGATGAATATTTCGTGATTGGTTTCTTGCGTTGAACATTAAGACAAGTTGGATGTGATGTAAGACCTGGGCTGATTGCGTCCCTTTAAACAAGACCCTGCTTCTGACGGATGTAGCTCGTCCCCAGATGATTCATGGGATACGTTGTGGTTACCTCTACTTCCTGTGATGGATATCCAGGTCAGGTCCCCTGCTTCGATGAGTCGTCGTCGTCATCTCAACTCGCGACAGTTTTCTCGGAACACTGGAGACTTTATGCATCACACAGGTCCCGCTTAAAGTGAAAACTGTCAGTGTCTTACGGTCTGGTAGAGACCGACCGTCTGATCAGGATGTTCCCAAGAATGGTCCTACCATGAACACGTTGACTACCAAGTTCTCTCATTGCCATAGGCTTTGTACCAGAACCACCAGTCGGTCTCCCAAGGGCAGTGGGTCGAGGATCATATGAAGATTAGGATTATCTCGCTACGAGGGTCAGAGAGCATCAGGGATTAAGATTAAGATTAGAAAGGAATGTTCCTGGCTCTGACGAAATGGGGGTATAATGATGACCTTAAAGAGCCTAAAGTCTCATGAGGGGTAGTAGTGCGACTACCAGCTCATGACGAGGGGGACAAGCGATAAGGGGTGTCATCCTGATATAGGGAAGGGGCACACGAAGCGGGAGGGGGTCATTACGAGCCTTTGTTGTTGGGGGGTGGAGGCGCGTCCTTTCTAGGGGGCATCTTTTCATTCTCCTTGTCGAGACCCTTGGCTTCCTCAAAGCCACTGATCTTCTGGCCGATCGCTGAAAGACACAAATTATAATTACAAAATATGGTTCATTGTTCACTGTGACACTTCAAAACTTTGTTCTGCAATAAAATAAATTACAAAATATGATTCATCATTCACTATGACACTTCAAATCTTTCTGCAACAAAACTTTTCTTGAATAATGAAAGCTCATTATCCATGTTCTTTATACTTTATATATATATATATATATATATATATATATATATACTCTGGTACTCCAGTATTGTTATTTGGTAAATCTTGTCCAATAACATCAACCACAATCTCAACTTTAATATGCATACTAGAGTCTTCTTTGTAATCGAGTTGAAAGATTGTTGAAGACACAATATCTTCACAACTGCCTCAAAATTTAACAATAAACAAAAATAATAAATTCAAGTCTTTACAAATTTTCTTCTTTTTCACCATGATACGTAGCGTGCACTGGCTAGAAGCCTACCAGATCTCCTTTCCTCCTTTCATGAAAGAAACCGTAATTCAATCTAAAACCTCTTTCTTCTTTAATAGCCAATGTCTCTTTTTATCCATTACTCTGGATGTTTTTATGCCATCAATATTTTAAGAGAAGAACTAGAAAACGTGACCGACCTGTTTGCAATGTCCTCTTTCCACCAGAGAGGGCGCCGACTGGCAGCATACCCGACGGGGTCAGACCCTTCAATGTCAACACACTTTCACTCTCTTCCCTGTAACAAAAAAGACATATTTTTTTGTTTTGTTAACACTCAAACACTTTGTATGGTGCATGTGACAGTGGTTAAATGCTCCCCAGGGAGTGGATAATGTGCATACATTGTGTGCGGGTAAGCCTGAATCCGATGACCAGGGTAATAATATGTACTGCGCCTAGAAACAAAGGGTTAGGCGCATTATAAATGTGAGCTATTATTATTATCATTATTATATGAGTTCCTCTACATGAAATTCCCATGGAAACACAAAGGCTGTATGATTCTTGTCTGGAAGTATATGATCAAATATGCATTGCCGTAACCAAGCACAACCAAGCATTTGTTTCTTGGCGTCTAGTATAATTATGTCTGAAAATTTTTTCATTCACTTCTCATTGTGTATTATATTGTATTGTACTTATCAAACTTCATTGAAATATACTGCATCGTGCGAAATTAGTCGAAGCTTGTTCTCTTTGACAGAGCTTCTAGCAGACAAGATCACTCCCATAGTGAAAAAAAACTTGAACAATGAGAGGAACTCATCACAATTTAATCTGAATTATTGATCATGTAGCTCATTATTTATAAATTGCTTTGACAGGTTTGCAAAATGTAAAGAAAGTAACAACAACAAAACTTATACTAGTACACCATTAGGCAGATACATGTATGAGATACACAATGTATTCCCTTTTCTTTCTTTGCTCGATGATTTAGCAATCTGCTGAATTTCTTTTTGGTAATTATGTACACTGTACATGTAAATTACTTTAAAATTATTTTTGTTTGATCTATTGTTGGTAAGGGCATCATTTCACGATACCAAATATAATTGCCATTTCTTCGAAAAATCAGCTCGCAAGAGGATCATATCATGTGCGATGGGCTTAATGACCTATGAAAACTCAACAATGGGATCTAGTTTTGTATTTTGTCATTGTAAATTGTTTTATAAAGGTTGAATACGAAACCCACATAAGTTCGCCGACAACCCATCAAAATGCGGGTATTAAATCTAACAAGTGTTTCAATGGCAATGTCGGTGAACGTGCTTATGATGTTATCGGGAAAAAATGTCCTGACCAACAATAGATCAATTCTTTCAAATCAAATCTTGATATGTACTGATCAGTGAAGAAAGACAAGTTTAATCCTGATGAATTAATCAACTGTTCATGTTCATCCGTAACTGCACAGCGCCAAATTCAAGAGTAACCTACTAGCGGAGACGGAGAGGCAAAGAAGTTTTGTATAAATTTATGCCTACTTCAAAGGTTTGATATCCAAGGTATGAATACAAGATTTGAATACAAAAAAAGTATTTAACAAAAATATAAACCGGTATATAATAATATATATTTTAATAAATTATTTTTTATTTACCTGAGAACGGTGAAGACGCGTGCCATCTTTCCGATGGCTCTGATCTTGTTACGAATGATCTCTTTCCTTGCTGCAGCTGAACCACCTGATACAGAGAAAAGGAAAATAAAACACTTTAAATTCCTGTCATCTTAAATACACCCTGTAAAAATAAACATCCATGTTTTTTCTCAATACACCAATGACCATACACTTTTCATGTCACCTAATAGAATGTACACCTGTGCAACACTGTTTTAATCTTGGAATACGCCTCGCAAAACAAAAACCCTGTAACAGTGGACCGTTCAAGTCATATGACAACTTCGAAGACCACTAGGCATACCTAAGTATGTTTTCTGGAAATAGTGATATTCATCTCAATACACCTACATGTACGTTAAGAGAAAATGTGTTGGGAAAAGATGTTTTTATAAAATTAAAGATCAAACTCACAATGAGTCTCAAATTTGGTGTTTGGTTCCATACTCATAATGGAGTTTTGTTAACTTCATCCAAATTATTTCTTTACCATCCAAATAATTTCTTCCCTATCTTTACATGATTAAGAACTCTGCATTTTTTAATAATTCAACTATCGTAACCTAAAGAGGATCATTATGATCAATTATGCAATTGATTTCCGAAAGCAAAGTTTCACAATAGTCTTATTGCATGTTTATATACTCTAATTGAACTATGAAATGATAAAGAATGTTTATATAACCGTAATTGAACTATGAAATGATAAAGAACGTTTATATAATCGTAATTAAACTATGAAATGATAAAGAATGTTTAAATAATCATAATTAAACTATGAAATGATAAAAAATGTTTATATAATTGTAATTGAACTACGAAATGATAAAGAATGAGTGCAGTTCATATCGACTCTTTTTTCTCACAATGTCTTGATTGCTATTATAACTCCCACAAGAAAATACACCACACACACAAATGCACCTTCACCAATAACACTTAATTACAACATGGCTTTAATATGGTGTTATCTTTGGTGTTAAACACAAAATGAAGACATTTAACAATCACCACACACTTATAAGCACCTACACCATCATGTGCGGTGCTCAGGTTCTACTCACACGCTCGCAACTACTTTCGAAAAATAGGGGGGTTCACACCTACAAATTAAGTGAGAATTAAATATCGTTTTATTTAATCCCAGGATTCCAAGCGCGCATACATCGTCGAGATTCACGCATGCCCAGTTCGGATGTTCTTGCCGTCAAGCGAGTATTCTCCGCGTGTAAATGGTCGCCAACAAAATTTAATCTTTGCATAGCGATTCCAATTTGCACTAAATTGACATGTGTGAACGGTCGAAAAAAAGAAAAATCAATCTTTGCACCGTGATCCAAACCGCACTAATTTTTATGTGTGAACAGGCCTGCTGTCCAAACATGATTTCTAAGGGACATACGAAAGGGTTTTGAAATTGCACTCGAGTTGATTTCGAAAGTAGTTATGATCGTTTTTGCGGTAGGTCAGGGCATATGACGGGGAGGATGGTGGATGAAGAACATTGAATGAGATTGACCATTTGATGAGATTGTCCACAGACCAACCATGAATACATCTACCAATCACAAACTCACGAAAATGTTTCTGAAAAAGTTGCACCCAGTGTGAGGTATATATAAACCATCCCTTTCGTGAGAATATATGATAAGATCAAATTTAGGTTGGACTTAACTATGGCAGGCTGTTCATGCCACTATTTGCTCTCACCATTTACTGGCTTTGGTCTCTCAAGGGACTTACGAATCATGGTCACAAATCTACAGAATTTACATTTTGTGATAATTCATTACTGAAGGAAAAAATATGATCTCAAGATCATAATGGTGAGAGCAAACAGTGGCATGAACGGCCTGCCATAGTTAAGTCCAACTTAAAGTCGATCTTAGTCCTTGTAAAACACTCCCTAGATAGACAAATTAATGCTTATGAGAAGATGTGATTACATTGAAAGACCTAAATAACAACTTTCACTTGAAAAGTTTTGTACAGTTTTGGTTTAAAAAAGGAAATTGGAAAGAAATGGGTTCAATATCGTCTAATGTTGTTTTCCTTTGTTTATGTAAAACCAACCAGAAAATAGCCCTAAAATAATATAATAATAACTTCCATTTGAGATGTTATACTAAAATGAAATGACCCAAATCAAATTGACCCATTCCAGATAAAAACCTGTGCAGGAAATAATCAAGAACTGCACCTTATTTGAAATATAAAACCACACACCTCCTCATGCAAATAACACACATAAGACATATCATACATACCCCACGGATCTAACATACATGGATGTACACAGTACACACAAACTAAACTAACGTGAAGAACTTACAAAACTCAGGGAGAGCCCTTCAAAATGGTTTGAAAGTCCAAAGTTTTGAATTATAGGAAATTTGGGAACATCCTATTATTATTTTGAACAATTAACGAGGGTACACAATGGGATGACGAATGAAAGCAAACAATGTGATGTCAAATCATCAGTGGGTTCCATCGGGGGGGGGGGGGGGGACCAAAGAAACTCAACATATTCATAACTGGAAAATTGACATATTATTTGCAATGTAACCAAATTCATACTCAAGTGCCTTGATACAAATTATTTCATTCTCCTGTCACAAATGATTGTATTTCAATAGTTAGAATGCGAATTGCATACATTAATTGTTACAGAGTACAACAAACAGGTACATCTAAATTGTCTGTTCTATTGGAAGCTTATCCACATTTGCAGACCCTTAATAAAGCTACATTAACTTGATCAAAATATTTAGGATATAGAAAGACAACTCCCAAAGATAAATTGCTTAATATTAATCCTCCTTTCGCATGGCATCCAAAGTTTGCCCCCCCCCCCAAAAAAAAAAAATAATAATAATAATAATAATAATAATAATAATAAATAAATAAATAAATAAATAAAAATAACTTGTTTAGCATGAATCATTTTCCCTTTTTCCTTTCTTTATTTAGAAACACCTCAACTCCACTTCAAAATATATGCACTCTATCATGCAGTTAGCAGGGAGGAGGAAAATTGTATTTTGATGAGCACTTCAATGAAATGATTCTGGTATAAGGCACATTTTCAATGGATTCTAGCCCAAGATAACTTACACTGTATGTGATGCCAGGGCTCCTGACTAAATTTTTTGGAAGGCGGTCCGATTTGAACTTTAGGATTGAACGGTCACCTTTTAGAGTCAAACCATGGTACCTTTGTAAATCTCGTTAAGTGATACTTATTATAATTGTTAAGTGTTTAACTTAATAAAAAAATCATACGCTTAAAGCCTTCACAAAAAAGTGCAACTGAGGATAAGTCCAATATATTCTGTGTGTGACTGTCATTTATTAAAAAATTATTTCTTGGTAATTTTCTTCAGCAATCTTTGAAGAGAAGGTGGAGTTCTGGTAAAGATGGGGAAAAAAATGAGCTTTCGATGTCAATTTGGAAGAATACCATCTCAGGAATGTCTCCATAAAACATCCCTTTTAAGATGCTCTCATATTCACAATAAGAGGACAAGAATTAGGGGGGGGGGGGAATTGGACCAAACATTTGTGTGTAGCCCCATATACCCATTTCTGTGTGCAGCCTAAACTCTAAAGTGATATTTAGTCAGATTATTAAGTAGACAGTCTTGATTTGAATCGTTCCAGAATCTCTCGGTATACATCACATCTTATAAATTCCCAATTGATTCCAGTTTCTTTCACAATGAGATTGCTTGCCCAGAACTCAACTCCATCTTCAAGTCAAGCATACAAATTGCTTTCGTCAGAAGACGACTTTCTTTTCCCAAGCATGCTCAAACCAAACTCAACGGGCTCACTACAATACATTCATTCATTAGCATTTTAATTGTAAGAAGAGGAGGGGAACCACTTGGCCATCACGGTAGGCCTGCCTTCACTATCTCGAGATTGCCAAATATCCCGCTATTTGAACTATCCCGATCGCAAACTATCCAGCTAATTTGCGTCTTCATCGGACCGAAGTACCAATTAGCAGGATATTTGGTCGGGATTGTCATCCAAAGATATCTTGGGATAGTTTGCAAAATATCCAGCTATTTGTCCCATGCATCTTCACTAGACCGAAGATTCGCACTATGCGCTAACGCTGAGCCAAATATCTCGAGCTAATTTCTTAAGGTCGAGTTTCAAGTTTCGAGGTCAAATCTCGAGCTGATGAAGACGCGATTTGTAACTTCGGGATTATTTCCCAAATCAGAAATAGCGGGCTATCTGGCAAGCTCGAGATGATGAGGACGCCCCTTGTAAGACTTCAATAGGCCATTTTCGTATTGTAATCAAATTCATGCCTCCGTGAAGCGCCTCCATATGAATTATTTCATTCACCCGATATGAATTATTTCATTCACCTGTTAGGAATAAATGTATCTCAACAGCCAGAATTCAACTTGCATACATTAGTTGCTGCTAGGTAGGATAAACATAATGGCTTGCCCTACCTAACAACACGTAATATATGCAATTCGTATTCTGACTATTGAAATGCAATTGTTTGTAAAACGGGAAAATGAAATAATTTGTATCGAGGCACTTACCGTAAGTATAAATTTGCATACATGCCAACATTTGAAAATCAGAAATCTGTACAAACTATGCTATTTTCAAAAAAAAGAGGAACAATCCTAACTCTCCTATTCAATACTACAGACAAATTTGTACAGGAAGAGGAACACCTGCATTAAAATGATAATTATCTTCTCCCAAAAAGATCTGAACAGTTGGCATGTCTGAATTTGGTTACATTACGAAAATGCCCTTTTAGGTGTACAATGATAGTCGTTGTTATTGAAGAACTCCCCAAAGAAGGTTATTCATAAAGCTGGTCTACATTTCAATTCTTTCTCTCATTAGGAGTTTCTGGCAATTATAGCTTCATGTTGATTGATGAACGATCTCTTTATATCAAGACAATACTTCTCCTATTGAGTATTAATAATCATAATTTGGATCATGAAAGTCCACATTGGGGGAAAAAAAGGTTATCTACTTAAAGATAAAGGTGAGTTCTGGTAATGC